CCTTCTCCTCCATTCTCCTCTAGAGATTTTAGGCACACATGCACAGGTGCCATGCGCACACATGTGCCCGGCATGAGTTTTAAGCCACTAGGTCTGGGACTCAAACCACAGTTGACTACGTGGGAGTCCAACGACATAACCATTATATCATCTGCTGGTCCCCAGAATGTTTGCTTTCTAGACTGCCCTATAATTTTTTATCTATCCATAACCTAAAAAGTACTTGCCTATCAATATTCTCCTTTTTTTTTTTAGAGTATTATTTATTTATTTATTTATTTTTGCTATTAGAGCACGTGCACTTGTTGGGGAGACAGAGAGAAAAAAGAGACAGAAAGTGAGAAACCAGCCTCCAGGGAGATGGCCAGGCTACAACTCCTTCTCTTCCATTCTCCTCTCAGAATTTTGGGTACACATGCACATATACCCAGCTTGAGTTTCAAGCTGCCAGCACCAGGAGTCAAACTGTGGTCGGCCACATAAAAGTCTTAACCACTACGCCACCTGGTGGCCTATCAATATTCAAAACAGCAAATAAGATCCATCTTTTCAGGAGTCTACAAATAAAGCATTAAAAAATAAAAACAGGGGGCCGGCAGGTGGCATGGTGGTTAAGGGCGTTGGACTCCCACATGGCTGACCACAGTTCAAGTCCTGGACCTGGCAACTTCCTTTCTCACTTTCTTTCTCTCTCTCTCTCTCTCTCTCTCGCTCGCTCGCTTGCTCGCTCTGTTCCTCTCTGGTCAAAATGAAAATAAATAAATAAAATTTAAATAATAATAAATAAATAAATAGAAAAAGAGCCAGTAGGTGACATGGTGGTTAAAGCACTGGATCCCACATGGCAGACTCCACAGTTCTAGTCTTGGACCCAGCAGCTTAAAAACATGCCAGGTATGTGTGAGTATATGTCCAAAATCCCGAGAGGAAAACAAAGGAGAAGGGATTACGGCATGGCCATCCCTCTTTGAGGGTGATTTCTCTTTTTCCCTCTCTCTTTGTCTCTCTTTGGTGAGCACATGCACCCTATAGTAAAAATCTAAAAAAATTAATTAATTAAAAATAAAAATGGCATTACACCCATTAGGTCACCATGTCAAGTCTTATCTGTAAGCAATTTAATTTCATATTTGTGAGCCTGATCAACCCCATAAAGGGTACATTCCATTTTTTTAAACAGTGAAATTAAATAAAAGGGTAGTAAACATTTCACTTGAGCAATAAAGTGAGTGCTTTGGAGAACAAGTTTTGAATTTTTCTTTTAAAAAAAACATTTAATTCCATTATTATTTTTATAATTTGACCAGAGAGAAAAAAAAAGGGAAAGTGAGAAAGCAAACCACCAGGTCCAGGATTCAAACTGTAGTCGGCCATGTGGGAATCTAGTACCTTTAACCACCATGCCACCTGCCAGCCCTGAAGTTTCTCCTTTTTTTGATATTTTTTTCTTGCTACAGGGTGTATGCACTCACCATAGAGAAACAGAAAGCAAGAAATTACCTCCCAGTGAAGATGACCACACTTCAATCCCTTCTCCTGCATTCTACTCTCAGGATTTTGGACACACATGTGCCCAGCATGCGTTTCAAGTCACTGGGTCTGGAACTTGAACTGCAGTCGACCATGTGAGTCCAGAATCTTAACCACTACACTACCTGTTGGTCTTGAGTTTTGAATTTTTAACCATGCATGTTATATCTACAAATTTATCAGTATCACATAGAAAGCTTAAAACTAAACAAAACAGGGAACCAGCAGTTAGCGTAATGGCTATGTCGCTGGACTCCCACGTAGTCGACCGTGGTTCGAGTCCTGGACACGGTGGCTTAAAACTCACGCCGGACGCGTGTGCATACGTGCCCAAGATCCCGAGAGGAGAATGGAGGAGAAGGGACTGCGGCGTGACCATCCCCCCTGGGGGGTGATTTCTCGCTTTCTGTCTCTATGTCTCTCTCTGTCTGTCTGGCGAGTGCACGCGCCATATAGTGAAAAAAAAAAAAACTAAACAAAACAGGGATCAGCAGATAGCATAACAAAACAGGGATCAGCAGATAGCATAATGGTTACGTCACTATACTCTGTAGACTGCAGTTTGAGTCCCCGGCCCGGTGGCTTCGAACTCACACTAGACACGTATTTGTGCATGCCCAAAATCCCAAAATGAGAATGGAAGAAAAGGGACTGAGGTATGGCCATCCCTCCTTGGGGGGGTGGTATCTTGTTTTCTGTCCCTATGTCTCTCTGGCAAGTGCATGCACCCTATAGCAAAAATATCTAAAAAAAAAAAAAAAAAAAAAAAAAAAAAAAACACAAAAAACTAGGGGCCAGCAGGCAGTGTGGTAGTTGAGGCTCTAGACTCCCACATGGCCAACCACGGTTAAAGTCCCAGACCTCATTGCTTGCTTTCTAATTCTCCCTTTCTCTCTGTCTGTCTCTCTGGTCAAAATTAAAGAATGATAATAAATAAAATAAAAAGTAAATAAATCTTGGAAAACAAAACTAAACAAAACAATTAAGGCCAGTAAGTGGTGTGTTTCTTTTAAGTTTATTTACTTACTTCTTTGATGAGAGTGAGAGAAACACAGGCACACCTACAACAGTCTTCATACTGCACTCTAATCCCATCCTCAGCCAACCAATCACGGGTACATGCATGCATGCCCAGCACATACAGAAAGGCCTCAGGACGCACATCTGGACCTTCCCTTGTGGGTCCAGCATTACAGAACATTATGTTACCACTGTGCCACCAGCTGGCCCCCAAAAACGCTTTAAAGAGGCAAATAACCCAATTTTTTAAATGGACAAAATCCTTAAATAGGTAATTTACAGAAGAGAAAATATGAATGAACCAAAGACACAAAAGAGTTCAACCTCACTAGTAATACGAGAAAAATGCTAATTAAAATTACAACACACGTCACAGACTGGCAGAAATACCCTGGAAACAACTCAAAAGTCTATCAATAGAAGAACAAACAAGTTAAGTGGAGGTACATTCACATAACAGAATAAATCTAGCAGTGAAAATAAATTAATTAATTACATCTGCTACAATCCCATTTTTAAAAATGTTATAAAACACAATAGCTTAAAGGATGAACACAAACTCAGGATGATGTTTCCCTTTGGGTAGGGAGCAAGAGAGATGTGATGAGGAACAGTAGTTAGAGGATTTTAACTGAATTGGCAATGTTTCACCTCTTTTTAAAAAAAATATTGAATTTTATTCATTATCATTGTTTTGTTTTAATTTGACCAGAGAGAGAGTGGGAAAGTAAGAAAGTAAGTTGCCAAGTCTGGGACTGCATGTGGGAGCCCAGCACTTTAACCACCACACCACCTGCCAGCCCCAGTGTTTAACTTCTTTCTTTCTTTTTTAAGAGATTTTTGTTGTAAGGTGCATGTGCTCGCTGGAGAGACAGAGACAGAGAGACAAAAAGCAAGAAATCACCCCCCAGGGGGGATAGCCACAACATAATTCCTTCTCCTCCATTCTCCTCTCGGGATCTTGGGCATGCATGCACACGCGCTGGGTGTGAGTTTAAGCCACTGGGTCGAGGACTTGAACCACAGTCGACTATGTGAGAATCCTGTGACATAACCATTATGCCATCTGCTGGACCCTCAATGTTTAATTTCTTAAGCTCAGTGGTAGGTGCATGAGTATTTTACTCTACGTAACTTTTTAGATGTTTTAGATGGTTATTTCTAGGTGACAGGTACATAGGAGTTCATTATACAATCACTAGGGATGTTTAACATTTTCCCTTTAAATAGTTAAATTTTGAATTATTTCTTTAAAAACTAAATTTAAAATTTTTACTCTAAAACTTTTTGTTGACCACCATAGAAGTGAGAAACATGGAATATACATTATATTACTGGGCCAGACAGGTGATGTGGTGATTAAGGTGGCGGGATCCCACATGGCTGATTGCGCAGTTCACGTTTCAGATCAGCAGCTTGAAAAACACACCAGGTGTGTGTGTGCATACATGCCAAAAATCCTGAGAGGAAAATGGAAGAGAAGGGATGGTGCCTGGTCAACCCCTGTGAGGGATGCTTCCTACTTTCTCTCTCTCTCTCTCTCTCTCTCTCTGGTGAGTGCATGCACCCTGCCTCAAATAAAAAAGAAAATACCTATCTCTTGGCCTGGCTGTGGTGGCACGGCACTAACACAATGCTCTGCAATGCTGGAAGCCACATCAAAGATCAGAGTTCAGCTCACTGTATTCAAGTCGACTTGTATACAATGGGACATGCAGGTGCGTCCATGACCTTGGTGGACTGAAAGGGCTGAAAGGCAGTGCGTGGATGGAAAGAAATCATGACATAGGACATTGTTGAGGGTGCCTGTCTTTATCTTTCTCTCACTCATTAGAAAGAAAAAACTTAAAATTTAGAAGTAACCAGCATAAGGGATTAAGGAAGCCAGATCCTATATGGCTGACTATGATCTGAATTCCAGCCCCAGTGGCTTGAAAAACACGCTGGGCAGGACCAGCAGTTAGCGTAATGGCTGTTGCTGGACTCCCATGTAGCAGACTGCGGTTCGTGTCCCGGACCCGGTGGCTTAAAGCTCACGCCGGGAGCGTGTACGTGCATGTCCAAGATCCCGAGAGGAGAATGGAGGAGAAGGGATTGTGGCATGGCCATCCCCCCAGGGGGTGAGTTCTCGCTTTCTGTCTCTCTGTCTCTCTCTGTCTGTCTGGCGAGCGCACGCGCCCTATGGCAAAAACTTCTCCAAAAAAAAAAAAAAAAAAGAAAGAAAAGAAAAATACGCTGGGCATGTGGGCCTGGGTGTGTCCAAAATCCCAACACTATTACAAAACAGAGAAGAAAGGCTTTCAGTGTGACCACACCCCATTGTGGGTACTTCCTTCCTCATTCTCTCCCTGTCTTTCTGTCTCTCTCTGGTTCATGCCTATGTCTTCTGGCAATAACAAAAGATTATGGACAAATATTAGGTATGAACATTGGTGACCTGAATTACCAACCTTAAACACATCCTCGATACTTCTACTAAGTTCTTCTTCTGTAACCAAAATGGTCCCTGGCACCATGCCACTCTCCGGAATCTCTAGAGACCAAAAAACAAAATTACCCACATATAGAGCCTCATTGAGAATACACTAAGCCTAAGAAGAAATTTTAACTAGAAAGAAGATTTAGTAAGTAACAGCTAAGATCAGAAAATTGACATGGTGGGGCCAGCAGGTTGCATGGTGGTGGGGGCGCTGGACTCCCACTTAGCTGACCGTAGTTTGAGTCCAATACCTAGAGGCTTGCTTTTTCACTTTCCCTTTCTCTCTCTGCCTTTCTCTGGTGAGTACATATGCACTATAGCAAAATAAAATAATAATAATAAATAAGATTAAATAAAAGAAAGAAAACAGACAGGCTACCAATGCACAACAAAGCATTCATACACATTTCATGGAATCTATGATGCCACTGAAAATAGACATACATTGTTATTTTATGTACCACTAAGAAAAAAAAAAGCACTCCAAATTAATCTATGACACATTAGTCAGAATATTAATTTTAAGTATATTGAATGAAAAACTGAAGATTAGATTAAATGAAAATAACTGAGACTTGATGGTTATTTCTAGGTTACAGGTACATAGGAGTTCATTATACAATCTCTAGGGATATTTAACATTTTCCCTTTAAATAGTTTTTTTATCATATAATTTTGTTATTATTATTTATTATTGTTTTTTAATTTGACCAAAGAGACAGACAGAGAGAGAGAGAACAAGAGAAGAGGAAAGTGAGAAAGCAAGCCTCCAGGTTTGAGACCCAAACTATGGTCAGCCATGTGGGAGTCCAGCACCTCAACCACCATGTTAACTGTCAGCCACTCTTTAAATAGTTTTAAATTAGAGTTTCTTAAAATATTAAGAGGGGTCAGGCAGTATCACAGTGGTAATGCAACTGGACCCACATGGGAAAGGTCTTGGCTTCATGTCCCAGGACCTCCCTGGGCACACAAGGCACATGTGTGTCTATGACCTGGGTTGGCTGAGACTGGGGGTAGATCATGATATAAAGATGTTGGTCTGTTTTGTCCTTCTCTCTCTCTCATAGAAGAAATAAATAATAAACATTTAAAAAATACTAAAGAGGGGCCAGCAGGTGGCTTGGTGGTTGAGGCAATGGACTCCCACATGGCTGACCATGGTTCAAGTCGGGACCTGGTGGCTTGCTTTCTCACTTTCTCTCTCTTTCTGATCAAATTAAATAATAATGAATGAATACATAAATAAATAATTCTTTAAAAAATTAAAAGCTTATTAGACTTATTCAGACATAGTTTTATTACATATCATTCTTTATATATATAGTAATTAACTATGATAGATTGGATAAAGAATTCTTAAAATTTCATATTAAATAGCCAATATATCTGAAATGTTTCAACACCAACATTCATGTTGGGCCATAATACATCATTCTCCATGCCACCCAGAGCCCAAGTCATGCAACATTTCTTAAAAGAGTTAATCAGGGTCAGCAGGTGGCAAGGAGGTTAAGGAATTGGATCTCACATAGCAGGCTGTGCAGTTTGAGTCCCAGACCTCAGGGCTTGAAGATCACATTGGGCACATTTGTGCACGCCTAAAATACTGAGAAGAGTGGGACAGAGAGAGAGGGAAAATGAGAAATCACGTCCCAGGGGATATAGCCATGCCGCAATACCTTATCCTCCATTTTCCTTTTGGAATTTTAGGCATGTACAGGCACGTGTGGTCCAGCTTGCTTTTCAGGCTACCAGGTTCAGGACTCACACTATAGAGCTGGCCATATGCAATCCAGCACCTTAATCACTATGCCACCTGTTGGCCCAATGAGGTATAGTCTTAATATATGAAACTAAACATAAAAGAATTGCTAAACCTTAATCATGAAGGCATACAGAAATAATACTTCATTTTAAGAGCCATTTTTGAAGACTGTGCTGACTCTAGATTAGATGTCCATCATGTGTATAAAGAAATTTTAATTATTTAGTCAAATATTATGTTTATCATATCTGAATGATCACAAGTTTCAATTCACTAAGGTTCAATCTGGTGAGGTTTTGCCACACATGAGAAGTAGACTTTCTCATCTCCACCAACCTTGCCTACTTCACCCTACACACACCCCAGAAAATATATACTACAAAAGACTTCTATACAAAATCTACACACAACTAAATTTGGTTTAACCATAATATAAATATTTATTTCTTCCTTTTTAGCCTTACAAACTACTAACTAGACAGATTTTTTAATCACTAAGAATGCTGAAATGATAGTCTGTATCCTAGCAATAAACTCAATGAAGCATGAAAATATACTGAAAGAAGTTAGGAAAATGTCAATCTTTTAAGACATTAAAACAGAGCTAAACCCATTAGCCAAATATGGAAAAAATTGAGCACTGAAATGAAAGACAGGATGTCTGGTAGGCAATGAGTAAAAAAGAACCTATATTGGGGCTAGCAGGCGGCGTGTGGGTTGGGCTCTGGATCCCACATGGCCAACTGCATGGATCCAGTCTCAGACCAGTGGCTTAAAAATTATACCCAATGTTTGTATATGCATGTGTGTGTGCATGCCAAAAATTCGGAGAAGAGAATGGAGAAGGAACTACAGCTTGGCCGTCTCCTCTAGGAGGTGAGGTCTCACTTTCTCTCTCTCTCTCTGTCTCTGTCTCCAGCAAATGCATGCACCCCATAGCATAAAAAATGAAAAGAACCTACACTGATAATTAAATCATTATTATTTAAAATAAATGAGGCAGGGAAAAGAAAACTTCTTCTTTTGCAGAAGAATACCAATTCACAAATTAGAAAGAAGAAAAGAAATAGAAAAATCACCATTTTTCTGCACAGTCTTCAAAAAGTGGCTCAGAAAATGGAGTATTATTTCTGTTGGCCTTCAGCATTAGGGTGCAGTAACAACCATCAGTGGATACTAACCACAGTATATAAGACTACTGGGAAACAAGATAATCACATAGTCTCAGATTATTATCTCATATATTACTTATTAATTATCTTAGTTAGTTAAGAAGGAAGGATATTTTTACAAGAGAAATTTCCAATTACTACCACTTAATTGGAAGATCAAATGTAATGTCACTAATAATGCAATTAATGGTAACATATCTAATGATGTGATGAACCAAGAGTAAAAAATAAATTACTGGTATCCTTCACAAATATTTAACCTAGATCTCATCATAAGGAAACAAATACAAATTCAGGGATATTTTGTAATTCAGGCTCTTCAAAACTTTCCTGGTGGGGCCAGCAGATGGCACAGCCGTTACATCGCTGGACTCTCACATGGTGGACCACAGCTTGAGTACCAGACCCGGTGGCTTGAAATTCACACTGGGCACATGTGCATGCATGCTCAAGATCCCAAGATTAGAATGGAGGAGAAGGGATAACAGTGCAGCCATCCGCCCTTGGGAGTGATTTCTCACTTTCCCTTTTACTGTCTCTCTCTCTCCATTAAGCACACATGCCCTAAGGCAAAAAAAATTTCTAAAATGAAACAAAAGAAAATAAAATTATCCTGATGAAAGACAACAGAACTATTCCACATTAAAGGGAAGACTAAAAAGACATGAAAAGAATATTCAATATATGATTCTTTTTTGAGAGGTTTTCACTATAGGGCGCGTGTGCTCGCCAGACAGAAAGAGAGAGAGAGAGACACAGAAAGTGAGAAATCACCCCCCAGGGGGATGGTCACGCCGCAATCCCTTCTCCTCCATTCTCCTCTCGGGATCTTGGGCACGCACGTACACGTGCCCAGCGTGAGTTTAAGCCACTGGATCCAGGACTCAAACCGCGGTCGACTATGTGTAAGTCCAGTGACATAGCCATTACGCTAACTGCTGGCCCCTAGATTCTGGATTTTTCAAAAACAGTTATGGGGCCTGCAGGTGGTGTAGTGGTTAAGGTACTGGACTCCCACATGGCCAATGGTGGTTCAAGTCCTGGACCCAGCTGCTTGCCTGCTGTGTGTGCACCCACACTCAAAATCCCAAGAGGAGAATAGAGGGGAAGGGACTGAAGCGTGGCCATCACCCAAGGGGTGATTTCTCACTTTCTCTCTCTATTGCTCCACTAAGCACATGCACCCTATAGCAAAAATCTCTCCAAATAAATAAATAAATAAATAAATAATAGGAGTGAGCAAGTGGCATAATGGTTAAGTTGCTAAACTCCCACATGGCCAACCACAGTTCGCGTCCTAGACCCCGTGACTTGAAATTCACACCACGTGGGTATGCATGTATGCCAAAAATCCTGAGAGGAAACTGGAGAAGAAGGGATTACAATGTGGTCATTCCTCCAAAGGGTGATTTATCACTTTCTCTCTGGAGAGCACACACACCCTATCATAAAAATCTAAAAAAAAAAAAAGAAAATTGTAAAAAAATTATTGGGACAATGTGAGAATTTTGAATAAAATTAGATTATACATGCAAAACGCTTGGGAACAAAGTGTTTTGGATTTTGAATATTTTGGCTTTTGGGGACAGTAGTTTGTGTAATGGTTATGACGCTGGACTCCCACATAATCGACTGTGGTTCAAGTCCCGGACCCGGTGGCAAACTCACGCCAGGCACGTGTGCATGCGTGCCCAAAATCCCAAGAGGAGAATGGAGGAGAAGGGAATGTGGCGTAACCATCCCCCCTGAGGGGTGATTTCTCGCTTTCTGCCTCTCTGTCTCTCTCTGTCTTTCTGGCAAGTGCACACGCCCTATAGCAAAAACCTCTCAAAAATTTTTTTTTGGCTTTTGGAACATTTACATATGTATATAATGAGCTATCTTAGGGATGGCACACAAATCTAAACACAAAATTCATTTACGTTATATATATACCTTATACACATAACCTAAATGTAATTTTATACAATATTTTTGCATTACAACACTTTTAAGTTTATTTATTTCTTCTATTAGTGTGACAGAGAGACAGCACCCCCAACGTGGTTTTACCACCACAATCCATACCCAGACTCAGCCAGCCCTGGATCCTGAGCATGAGCATGTAGGACACACTCAGAGAGGTCTCTGGATGTGGACATGGAACCTTCCCAAGGTGGTCAGCCTCACAGAGCATTGAGTTTTACCACTGTGCCACCGTCCAACCCCTGTACTGCAGCATTTTGACTGTGATCCATCGCGTGAGGCAAGGGACAGAGTTTTCCACTTGTAGTGCCATGTCAGTGCTCAAAAAGGTTCAGATTATGATTTCAGATTTTTGGATTAGGAATGCTTAACGTGTAGTATATCAATGTTAAATTTCTTGAGTGTGAGAAATGCATTGTGGTGACTGACATTTTTCTTTTGGAGATGCAAACTGAAGTATTTAGTGGTAAAGTGTCACAAATGCTTCAGAATAAATATTTTTAAGTGTACAGAAAGAGACAGAGAAGGAAAAGATGCCCAAACTACAAACAGTTGGTTAGTCTAAATGAAAGGTACATGGCTGGTTGAAGGCACTCTACTTGGAACTTTTTTTTTTTTTAAAGGCTGCTGGGTCCAGGACGTGAACCGCAGTTGGCCATGTGGGAAGCCAGCACCTTTAACCACCATGCCACCTGCCAGCCCATCTACTTGGAACTTTTGTGAAGTGAATTTTTCTTTTCTTTTTTTTTTTTAAGAGGTTTTTGCTATAGGGCGCGTGTGCTCGCCAGACAGACACAGACAGAGAGACAGAAAGCGAGAAATCACCCCCGACGGGGGATGGCCACACCGCAATCCCTTCTCCTCCATTCTCCTCTTGGCATCTTGGGCACACACGCACACGCGCCCGGCGTGAGTTTTAAGCCACCAGGTCTGGGACACGAACCGTGGTCAACTACATGGGAGTTCAGCGACACAGTCATTACGCTAACTGCTGGTCCCGTGAAGTGAATTTTTCAAAAGAAAAAGTGGGAGACATGGGAGTAAATACATTGAAATATCACAGGTTTAGATCATTTAAATCCAAAATACTTAAGAAGGTCTTTCAGAGGCATATCTAACCATTAGACTGCTTCCTTTACCTGCTGTATTTAGACATTGGTGAAGAGGAGCTAACACTGGCTGAAGCAAATATTTTGCTGCCAGTTGTGGGTGTTCTCTTGCCATAGTTATGAAGGTAGTGGTGGCAACTCTCTGAAATTGTCGTGCTGTCAATTGATCTCGAAAGTGAAATAAATCCAGAATCTATAGGGAAAAAATCACATAAATAATAGGCTCCTAGTAGGAAATATGACTTAGCAAAGAAGAAAATGCACTTATTTATTTAATCCAAAATGTAAACTCATTACAATAACAATGATTAGATAGAATTTTTTAAATTTAACAACCCATTATCAAAGGTTATGAAAGCTAAAAAGGCTATGGTTTTATTAAATAGTTTTATCAAACTTATAAAATACATGGTCATTGAAGAAAATGTCAAAAGCAAAATTTTAAGAAGAAAACTAAAACTTTCCCAAATCACTATAAACATTTTTGATGTATTTAATTTGGTGTATTTAAGGAAACCGAATTGACATAGCTAATTGCAGTTCGAATCTTGACCCTAGTAGCTTAAAAAACATGGAGCCAGGAACCAGCAGATGCTTTAACCCCAATATTAGAGCTTCATTAAGAGCACACAGTCCTTGATTAGTCAAGAGAAACAAAATAGGGAGTTTTGGTAGGAGAGGATGGGGAAAAAAGTGTTTAGCAGACACAAGAATGCATATGAAGAGTAAATGAGTTGTGGAACAGCATATAACAGAGTGAAAAAAAGAACAATATATATATATCTCAATAAAATAAAAGTGGTAGGGCAAAAACTTAAAGTACACATCAGGGTCTGCAGGTGGCATGGTGGTTAAGGGCTCTGAACTCCCACATGGCCAACTGCAGTTCCAGTCCCGGACCTGGTGGCTTGCTTTCTCACCACCCCCATCTTTCTCTCACTCTCGCTCTGGCTTTTTGTCTGTCCCTTTCTGGTCAAATTAAAATAAATAAATAAATAAAGTTAAATAAAATAACTCTTTTTTAAAAAGAAAGTATACATCATAATGTGGTTTATTATTTTTTTGGTAAGAATTATTTATTTATCAGGACCAGCAGTTGGCGTAATGGCTATGTCGCTGGATTCTCATGTAGTAGACTGCAGTTTGAGTCCTGGACCCAGCGGCTTAAACTCATGTTGGGCGCATGTGTGTGTGTGTCCAAAATCCTGAGTGGAGAATGGAGGAGAAGGGATTATGGTGTGGCCATCCCCCCTGGGGGCTGATTTCTTGCTTTCTGTTTCTCTGTCTCTCTCCATCTTTCTGGCAAGTGCATGTGCCCTATAGGAAAAAAAAAAAAAAAGAATCATTTATCTTTTTTTTTTTATTATTTGCTACAGGGTATATGTGCTCATCAGAGAAATACAGAAAGCAAGCTGTCAGGTCCTGAACTCAAACTGCGGTTGGCAGTGTGGGAGTCCAGCACCTTAATCACCACGCCATCTGCTGGCCCCATAGTTTTTGTTGAAAACAATGAATACGGTAATATCCTCAATTTATAATACATGGCATGCACATGCATGCTTTGAAAATCCATATTGTACCCTATAAAGACGCTAAATAATTAAATACAAAGAAATTATTAAAAATAATATTTTAATTAAAAAGAAAGAAAATTATTTACCTGGGGGCAGATATCCTTGTAGTAATTCTCTGGTGAAAGAGACTGCTGGGGACAGGAAGCCAAAATCTTTGCAATCAAGTCACACTTCTTCCAGTCAGCAGCCATCGCCTCAGCATCACTCCCGCCAGCTGCCCCAGCTACCACAGAGGAGAGAGAAGTCAAACACTCATAGCAAGTCCCTGTAAGGTCCCATGTGATAAATCTTCCTTGAAGTTCAGGGCAAAAACCGCTTCTTTTCTTTACTGAAAATTATTTATTTCTTCTCTAAGATAATTTAGTCTTCTTTCCTCTCCTTTCAATGCTGGTTTTTTGGAAGTTCAGAGAAAAGCTACTACTTACTATAATATTATTCATGTGACTTAAATACTAGCTTCTCAATGTTTATTACTACTAGGTGGTTGGAAAAGTCATGACGTATTCCCACGTTTGTCTATGCAAAAATGCATCATGACTTTTCCAGTGACCCAATAGTATCCTGAAATGTATCATTTCATTTAAATTGTCTTAAACCACAGCCATAAGATAACAGAGACTAGATTCACTTCACTATCTTAGTCAATTATAAGACTTAATAAAATAGGCCCAGCAGATGGTATAATGGTTAAGGCACTGGACTCCCATATGGTCAACTGTAGCTTGAGTCCTAGACCCGGTGGCTTGAAACTCACACGGGGTACATGTGCATGCCATGCCCAAGATCCTGAGAGGAGAATGGAGAAAGGACTGTGGTGTGGTCATCCCCTGTGGGGGGTGATTTTTCAGTTTCTGTCTGTTTTTCTCTGTTTCTCTTCAGTAAGTTCACAGATGTTTTAGCAAAAATCTCTTTTAAGGGACCAACAGTTAGCATAATGGCTATGTCACTGGACTCTCACATAGTCAACCGTGGTTTGCGTCCCGGACCCGGTGGCTTAAAACTCACGCCGGGCGCGTGTGTGTGCGTGCCCAAGATCCCAATAGGAGGATGGAGGAGAAGGGATTGCGGTATGGTCATCCCTCTTGGGGGGTGATTTCTTGCTTTCTGTCTCTCTGTCTCTGTCTGTCTGGCGAGCGCACGTGCCCTATAGCAAAAACCTCTCAAAAAAAAATCTCTTTTAAAAAAAAAGAAGAAAAATTAAAAACTAGACAAAATACATAAACAATGATTTCAGACACTGGACAATAAATAGTCAAAGACACTGACCCGAGAGAAAGGAAATGAACAAGGTGAACTGATGACTGTCCTCCCTTACTACTTGGAGAGAGTTTTTAGGCCATAGCACAGCAATAGCAGCCCAGATGAAGTATAGCATCTTGCTAAGTTGAAGAAACCAAGTTCACAACTAGAGAGGCCAAGGCCACTAGAATTTTCAACCCAAATTACCAGAAAGGAGGAAGGTACAGAGAAGGAATTCCAGGGGTCTGCAAAGGGGTCCTCTCTCAAGTCTTTTGTGAAGTGTAATCTGTGTATGTGTGTAAGGAAATATCCAAGGCTGGAGCAAGAGCCAATAGAAAGGAGTAGATATAACAACCCTCAGAATTCATAAAGGGCTGGAAGTAGTCTTCATTCCCCTTTGCCAACATGGAAAGACCTAATACACAGAGTATTCAATAGAATCCTCAGAAGGGTATTGCCTTAGCAGAGGGGCCAGATTAACCTTCAGACAAAGGTTACTGTAAAACTGCACTAGCAAAGCTTAAAAGCCAGGATCAAAGGGATCATACTGGAGACCGGCAGGTGCCATAATGATTATGCCACTGGCCTCCCACGTAGTCAACCATGGTTCAAGTCCCAGACATGGTGGCTTAAAACTCACATTGGGCATGTGTGCGTGCATGCCCAAAATCCCAAGAGGAGAATGGAGGAGAAGGGATTGTGGTATTGCCATCCCCCTGGGGCAGGTGGGGGGAGGTTCTTGTTTTCTGTCTGTCTGTCTGTCTCTCTCTCTCTGGCGAGCGCATGTGCCCTATAACAAAAATCCCTCCAAAAAAACTAAAGGGATCATACTGTTTCCAAGTAACTTAACTGCAACGCAACTTAACTGCATCCCAGGACAAAGCCCAACTAAGAAATTCAACAAAATCTGGGAGCCAACAATGCAAAAAATAAATAATAAAAAAAAGTCCAAGGCCGGCCTTTACAGCACAGCAGCTAAGCACTATGCACAGGAGACAGATCCCACATGGCAGACTATGGTTCAAATCCTGGCCCCAGTGGCTTGAAAAATGTTCTGGGTTATATGTGTGCCCAAAATCTGATGGAATGAAGAAATGGAAGAAAAAGGATTGGAGGATGGTTATGCCCCTTTGGAGCATACTTTCTCTGATGAGAATGTTCACCCTCTGGCAATTAAAGGAATAATTTCTAAAGTAAAATAAAATTTGGATCTATACAAAGAAATGAAGACCACCAGAAATGACAAATATGTTATGTATAAACTGCTTTAAACCACTTATGAGAAGAAACAAGATATTAATAGATAACAAAACATATACAAGTTTTTTCTTATAACGGGGAAAACTCAGGAAATACAGGGTTCTAATTTTCTTTCTTTTTTAAGCTTATTCATTTATCCCATGGCTGAGAGAGAGAGATACAGCATCCCCAGTAGATTTCAATGTCACAATCCACCCTCATCCTCAGCCAGTGCATATGTGTGCCCAGCATATTCGGCAAAATCTCTGGACTCACTGGTAGCCTTCCATGTAGGTCATCCTCATAGAGTGTTGGATTTTACTTCTGCCCCACCATCCAGCTCCTGGTTCTAATTTTCTTACAGCAACTCTACAATCTGCATGCCCTTGGGTGATGTCTAACCCTTCTTTGGAAAAGAAAGATACAAAAACCTATTTGCATGTGACAACTTTCTACTATATCGGGCAATTTCTTGTTTCATTGGCCCTAGGAGTCACTGCAAGTGGAACTGAGGGGAGGCAGCATTGTAAACACTCTAGACTATACCTACCATTATCTGCCAACCACGCTGACCTTACTTTTGTCTGCCAGGACTGAGATATATTCACCACACTAAATGTGGAAAATCAAGATCAATTATTCTTTCTTTCTTCCTCCTTCCTCATATATCCTGCACTTCATTAAGTTCTGGCAACTCTATTAGCCTTTAAATATATCTCAAATTCATTCATTTCTCTCCAGTTCCATAGCCACCACACTGATCCAAGCCACCAGGGTCTCTCAGACAACTGCTTCTTAATGGATCTCCCTAATTCTGTTCTTACCTAAACCATGCTTCATAATACATCCAGATAGCTACTATATTTCTAAAATACAAATTTCGTTATATCACTATATTTCAAACCCTTCCACGCTTTCTCATTTTCATCAGAATAAATTCTAAAATCCTGAATGAGGCCTGTAAGACCTCATGATGTGGCTCCTGCCCAGTTCTCCATCTCACCTCTCACTCCTCTCCCTCTACTCTCTGCCCTCACCAGCCCACCCAACTAAAATTTCCATGGAAACACTATATTCTTTCCTACTTCAGTTTCTATGTACATGCTCTTCTCTCTGCCTACAACCATCTTTCCTTACTCTGTCCTTACTCTTCAAATAGTAAATTCCAATTCAGCCTTCAGGGCCCAGTTTTTTTCCATTAAAAAGCCACTATAGGCCAGCCATGGTAGCACAGCAGCAATGCAACGCTCCATGATACTGAAGCTACATGATGCTGACGGTCCCACATCTGTATTCTTTTTTTTTTTTTTTGAGAGGTTTTCGCTATAGGGTACATGCGCTTGCCAGACAGACAGAGAGAGACATAGAGACAGAAAGCAAGAAATCACCCCCCAGGGGGGATGGTCACTCCGCAATCCCTTCTCCTCTATTCTCCTCTCGGAATCTTGGGCACGCACGCACACGCGCCCAGCATGAGTTTTAAGCCACCGGGTCTGGGACGCGAACTGTGGCTGACTATGTGGGAGTTCAGCAACATAGCCATTACGCTAACTGATAGTCCCAAAGACTGCTATTCTTTGTTTTCTTTTTTTTGGGGGGGAGAGGTTTTCACTATAGGGCGCATGCACTCGCCAGAAAGACAGAGAGAGACATAGAGACAGAAAGCGAGAAATCACCCCCCAGGGGGAATGGTCACGCCGCAATCCCTTCTCCTCCATTCTCCTCTTGGGATCTTGGGCACACACGCACACGTGCCTGGCATGAGTTTTAAGCCACCAGGTCCCGGACGCGAATCACGGTCGACTACGTGGGAGTCCAGCGACATAGCCATTATTTTAACTGCTGGTTCCCAAGACTGCTATTCTTTACTATAAGCCTTGTAGAGTTATTTGACTCTTTAAACTATGTGCATATATAATTCTGTTTATATTAAAATAAAACTAAAAGTATAAGCTAAAAACTACTACTATGGAGAGCAGCAGGTGGCGTCATGGGTAAAGCACTGGACACTCCCACATGGCCAACCATGGTTCAAGTCCCAGACCTGATAGCTTACTTTCTCACTTTCCCTCCCACGCATTCTCTGTGTCTCTCTCTGATTAAATTAAAATAAATGAATGAATAAATAAAATTAAATAATTAAAAAACCCTACTACTATGCTTAGCATGCTAATTAACTTTTTTTTCATAATAATGAAGATTTAATAAATTTGGGAAAATGACTCTAAAGGTTCATCCCAAAGTTTGTGTCTTAAAAGTATCTCCTTTATATTTTATATTTTCTTGAGGGTTTATACTTCAACTTTTGGTGCAATGTTTTCCTATAATATTATAAATTATTGGGAACCAGCAGTTAGTGTAATGGCTATATCGCTGGACTCCCACGTAGTCAACCGCGGTTCGCATCCCGGACCTGGTGGCTTAAAACTCACACCGGGCGCTTGTGCGTGCATGCGTGCCCAAGATCCCGAGAGGAGAAAGGAGGAGAAGGGATTCGTGACCATCTCCCCTGGGGGGTGATTTCTCGCTTTCTGTCTCTCTGTCTCTCTCTGTCTGTCTGGCGAGCGCACACGCCCTATAGTGAAAACCTCTCAAAAAAAAATTATAAATTATTTGAAAAGGCTTAGAATATTACTTAACAATGTGAACAGAAAAGAAGCACATTTAGGGCTTCAAAGTTTAATCTCTTCAATCTATGCAAAGACAGTTTTGTTTCAGGGTTTTTTTTTTTTTTTAAGTATTTATTATTTAACTTTATTTATCATTCTTCTTATTCATTTTGACCAGAAGGAGCCAGAGAGAAAGAAAGCAAGCAACCAAATCTGGGACTGGAACCACAGTTGGCCATGTGGGAGTCTAATACCTTAACTACCACACCCCCTGCTGGCCCTTCCAGTTGGGTTTTAAAGGTGAATGCTCAATTGATAAAGACACCCAAAATAGCTGGAATTACTGGCAGATTAAGTAGTGGTGAACCTGTGGTTTTCTGAAGATGAAAAAAAGGTGAATGCTAAAGACCAATAATTCACCAGAGTCAGACTGTGTCTCAAAGTGAAATGGATATGAAGGTAACCAAAAGAGTTCATTTCTTACCACCTGCTCCTTCCAAAATGCCCCGGACTACTGCCTGTACACCACTGGGTCTCATTAACCTTTCTGAGAGGAGTTGCCCACACAGACGTCGAAGCCAAGCTGGGGTCCGACACCTAAGCTGTGTCTTCACATCTGCACAAGACTGAAAACACAAGAAGGTATGAATTCTGAATATCAATGTAGTAGATATGACATGTAGACATTATTTTCTCAAAAAGCACAAGTCATACTGACAATTAACACTTTGCTATACTAACTTCAAAAGGAAAAAAAAAAAAGGCAATGTTTTTTCCTAAAACAAACAAACAAACAAACAAACCTCCTTTGCTAAACCTTCTTCAGCTGTACTTTTTTTTTTTTTTTTAACTTGTTAGAGGGCATGTGTAATCGCTGAAGAGAGACAGAAAGAGAGGGGGAGGAAGAGAATGAAAAAGCACAACCTGGGGGATGGCCATCCACAATCCCTTGTCGACAACTTCATTCTTCTCTGGGAATTTTGAGCATGCACACACACTTGCCTGGGGTATTTTTCAAGTTGCTGGATCTAGGACTCAAATGGCAGAGTCCACCATGTGGGATCTAATGCCTTAACCAACTTGCCACCTGCTGGCCTCAGCATTACTTTTAAGGGAGTAGAATTAAAGTCAGTGAAATTTCAAATCAAAAAAGGGACATAGTGAATAAACAAAGATATTGAGAACACAAAATTAATGCAACCAATCTTTGAATATAGTCCATCTAATCAAATCTAGCTTCAAAAGAAGAGTCTTATAAATATAATTCACCACTAAGAGGACCGTTTGCAACAGTGAGGCAGTACTCCAGACCTTGCCTCTGTGGTCTTAGCTCCTCTGATTCCGGTCATATGGCACTTTGAAGAAAGGGTGGGAATTCAGGGCTGGCAGGTGGCATGGTTAAGGCGCTGGACTCCCACATGGGTGACTGCCATACAGTTCCCAGACCTGGGGCTTGCTTTCTCATTTTTCTTTTCTCTCTCTGTTAGTCCATTTAAAAAATAATAATAATAATAATAGCAAAAATAATAAATTTTTTTTGGAGAGGTTTATTCGCTATAGGGCGCATGCGCTCGCCAGACAGACAGAAACAGAGAGACAGAAAGCGAGAAATCAACCCCCAGGGGGGGTGGTCACGCCGCAATCCCTTCTCCTCCTTTCTCCTCTTGGGATCTTGGGCACGCACGCACACGCGCCCGGTGTGAGTTTTAAGCCACTGGGTCCAGGACGCGAACCACGGTCGACTACGTGGGAGTCCAGCGACATAGCCATTACGCTAACTGCTGGTTCCCAATAATAATTATTTTTAAAAAAGAAAGAGTGGGGTTTCCTCAAGGGCTCCTTTGTGAGAGACCTATGAAACCACCATGAGCAAAACTGCTAGAATATTAACGATGTTTTGTCAACCACTGCACTTAATTATATAAGCCATCAAAATAAGTGACAGGCCTCGCTCAGGTAGCATATGTAGTAACACACTGCTCTGCAGAGCTGGAAACCACATGGCAGCCATGGGTTTAGATCCCAATTAGACCTGGAACATGCCAGGTACTTGTGCCCAAGATCTTGATTAGCTTGAGAGCTAGGGAAAGGGAAATGAAGAATGACGAGTTCCTAGTGAGGGTGCCTGTTTCCCTCACGTGTGATCTCTCTGTCTCATAAAACTAATAAAACCTTTTAAAAATTAGTGACAGAAATATTTAGTAGCTAGCCTGTCGTCTCTCTTTTATATAAAGAGAATTAATAATTACCATTTATTGAGGGGGTTATGAAATGTCAGGCATATCCTAAGTAACTCCCATATAATCTCAAAAGGGACTTACGAAGAGTAATCATCTCCTTTTTTTAAATAATTATTTATTTTATTTATTAATTCATTTATTTTTTAGTTTGATCAAAGAGAGACAGAGGGTGAGAGTGAGAGAGAGAGGAAGTGAGAAAGCAGGCCACCAGATTCAGGACTCGAACTCTAGTTGGCCATGTGGGAGTGTCCAGCGCCTTAACCACCACGTCACCTGCTGGTCCCCAATCATCTCCTTTTTATGGGTTAGAAAAACTGTGTAAGGAAAAGTCTACAAATTCATACACCTGCATGCTGGGGATGAAACCTGGTTTGCCTAAATCCAGGGCCTCTGCTTCTCATCATGCTCTTATGCTCTTATCATACATTTGGTTCAATGTGGAAAACTGTGGGCTTATTCCCAGAAACAAAATGTGAAGCCAGAGAGGCCTACTGCAAGGCTGAAATGAAAATCACTTCAACTAAAACTATCTTTGTAGCCAGCTTCAACTGCTCTTTGCCCCTGTCCTACATCAATCCCTTTGGTCCCTTACTCTCTACACACCTAGATTCAGGATTAAAATTTAAATTCCAAAAGCATATAGATAATTCCATCTACATTAAATCACTTCAGATAATTATTTTTTTAATTCATGATAGAGCATGTGTGCACACACATGAGAGTGAGAGAGATAGAGAGTAGAGAAGCACCCTCCACAGGGGCTGGTCATGCTGCCATCCCCTTCCTCCAGCCCTCCAACATGTCTAGTCTTGGGCACTCATGTACATATCCAGCATGTTTCAGGCTGACCAGGCTACTGGCTCAAACTATGGTCACCACGTGGAATCTGGCCTCTCCTGAGCAACACATTATCACTGCACCACAGAGCTGGCCCCTGATATATAATTAATGGAAAAAAAAGTAACTATTTTATGCCTAATAGAATATATATTATGCTTTTCAAACATAGGAGCCAAGGATAGAACCAATAACAGCTTTAGTTTCAATTTCTTGACTTCAAACACTCCATTCAAAAAATAAGGTGTCCAAATACTCTTGCCAAAAGAACATATTGTTAAACAGTCAAATATTAGTTAAAATAAAGATCCAGGGCCAGACACAGAAGTAAGATGCTGTGCTTGGCAGGCTGCTACAACACAGGATATTCAGGTTTGATGTCTGGTATAACCTAGAGGCTGGGTGCAATGGTGTGCACCTGTAATCCCAGTGACTCCGGGAGGCTGAGGCAGGAGGACTGTGAGCTCAAGTCTGACCTGGGCAACACAGCAAGATCCTACCTGAAAAAGAGCCAGGCATGGTGGCACCCACTTGGGGTCTCAGAGGCTGAGGCAAGACGAAAATGACATGGAGAGACCCTGTCCTTGGAAAAAATAAAAAGATGCTGTTTCAGAGTGAATGAAATAGGTCCAGCTGCTATGGCTCAGTCAGTAGGGAGCTACTGCATAATACTGGAGCCATACAGAGAGGCCCTGGGGTTGGATCCTAGGTTGACACAAACACTCCAGGCACACCTACAACCCTGGCTGGCTAAAAGGCTGGAAGATATAATAAAACTCTAAAAAAAGAATAAGTAAAACATATTTTACTTAAAATGGCCATAAGCCTTAAAAAAGAGTGGAACACAATAGCTATTTAACTTAAGTGCACATGCCCAAAATCCTGAGAAGATGATGGAGAAGGGATTGAGGCATCATCATCCCCCCAGAGGATGATTTCTCACTTTGCTCCATCTCTCTGTCTCTCTCTGGTCAGCATATGCGTTTTACAACAAAACTGAAAAACACAAAACAAAACAAAAAACCAAACTAGTGGTTAAGCCAGTGGAGCCCACATAACAGATTACATGGTTTGAATCTTAGACCCGGCAGCTTGAGAAACAACATGCCAGGGGCATGTGCATGCATGTCCAAAATCCTGAAGGGAAGGAGAAATGAAGTTATGACTGAGGTATGACCAAGTCCCATGGTAGGCGGTTTCTCATTTTCCCCATCTTTCTCTCTCTGTCTCTAGTGAGCACACAAGCCCTCTGGTAAATAGAAAGAAAAAAAAAAAGTGATCATAGTAGTCTTTAGAAAGTACCCATCATTCCATTAAAGAAAAGGTTTTTTTAAATTGTTCTAAGGATCAGTGTCACTTAGGTTTATAAATACCGTTTAATAATCTAAAAGATGAGAGCCAGTCCATACCTAATAATTAAGGGAGGCAGAACCCCAAATGGTCAACTCCAGTTCAATTTCTGTCCCCAAAGTCTTGAATAACATGCTGGGTCGGGGGATGTATGCCCCAAATCCCAACAGGATGGAGAAGAAAGGATTACTGTGTGATCACGCTTCTTTGGGGAGTGCTTTTCTCCCTCTATCTCTGTCTCTGTCTCTATGTCTTTTTAGCAAGACCATGTGTCCTCTGCCAATAAAAATTAAAAGATCTAAGGGACCAGCAGGTAGTATGGAGGTTAAGGCAGCTGGACCACAAGGCAGACTGTTCATTTCAAGTCCTGGACCCAGCAGCTTGAAAATCACAACAGGCATGTGTGCATGCATGCCCAAAATCCAGAGAGGAGAAGGGATTGTGGTGTAGCCATCTTCCCTGAGGAATGATTTCTCACTTTCTCTCTCTCTCTCTCTCTGTCACTCTCCAGCGAGCACATGTGCCCTATAGTAGAAATTAAAAAGAAAAAAATAAATAAAAGACAAAATAACACTCAGTTAGATCATTAAATAGGGAACTAAAGAGAAGAAAGCATACTACAGTCATCATTAATGATTCACCCATGAGGCCAGTAGGTAGCATGGTGGTTAAAGCACTGGACACTCCCACATGGCTGACCATGGTTTGAGTCCCAGACCTGGTGGCTTGCTTTCTCACTTTCCCTCTATCTGTGTGTCTCTCTGGTCAAATTAAAAAAATACATAAATAAGTAAATAAATAAAAATTTAAAAATAATTTTTAAAAAACGATTCACCCACAAGAGTCCCCAGGTCTGATTACCTGGGGTGGTCCTCCCTGGAGAATAAGTAATTCTCGGACTGCTAATGGTTGATATACTTGATCCAAGATGTTTCTCAAGGTCTCCCTGGATAGGGTTCTTTCTTCTCCAGTTAAAACCTAAAAGAAATAAATATGCACTTGACTTTAGTGAAATGCACACCAAGCAGGTAACAAAGGCAATGTTTTATAATCACAATCAAAAATACTTCTAAAAGGAAAGGAAGGCTTCTATCCCCTCTTGATTTCCTTCAAGATGGAAAAAGCTGTGCTATTAAAACCCTCCATCCCTCATTCACTCCACTTTTGGGCAGATGTGTCTATTTTATTGTTGGGTGTGGAATAAACTCACCTCTTGGCTAGTCTGAACAAACACTGCTCAGTTCATTCCTCCCTATATTTTAGAACTAGGCACATATATACCGTTTTGTTCTTTCTTGCTATATATTTTACAGAAGCATATCTCTTACGATCAGGCACAAGGTGCTACAGTTTTTCAGCGCTTCTGAAACAGGTGAGTGTGTGGAATGTACTGTCAGGAAGATTAGTCTCTATGTATAAGCTATATCCTCCAACTTTGCCTTTATGAGCAATAGAGGTGACATTTGGCTTTTCATCTCTCTTACCCTGTTAATGTACTTTTAATTCATTTGGAACTTGGGTAGCAAAGAGAGGTGCTATTTTGGGGGCACTTGTGAGGCCCAACAGTACCATCACTCTGGTAATTACTACTCACAATCAGAATTCTGTTAATTGCTATCCAGCACACTGGGGTCTGCTACTAACAGCCTCAGCTTCTGGTCGGACCCATCAACTGGATAGCTCAGTAAAGTGCAAGCAGTACGCACTGCTAGAACTGTCAGCACACAAAACCCTGTAGTGAAGAGCAGGGTGCTCTGCTCCCAGAACATAAAGGCACCAGGGAGTTTATCATTTCATATCACTTGAATATAGTAGCTTGTAGGCAAATGTCTGTGGACAGGCACAAGAGGGAATAGAAAAAGAGAACAAACAGAAAAGGAACACAGAGGAAAATGACATAGGTAGGTGAAAGAGAAATGAGGGCATTGTGAGATCTGGCTGTAGGAACTAAGAAATCACTCTACATATGAGCCACAGATATATTTGTAGCTTTTCTTTTTTTCCTGTAGGGTGCATAGGCTCACTGGAGAAAGACAGAGAGAGAGAAAGTGAGAAACTACCCCCCAGGGGAGTCTGAACAAACACTGCTCAGTTCATTCCTCCCTATATTTTAGAACTAGGCACATATATACCGTTTTGTTCTTTCTTGCTATATATTTTACAGAAGCATATCTCTTACGATCAGGCACAAGGTGCTACAGTTTTTCAGCGCTTCTGAAACAGGTGAGTGTGTGGAATGTACTGTCAGGAAGATTAGTCTCTATGTATAAGCTATATCCTCCAACTTTGCCTTTATGAGCAATAGAGGTGACATTTGGCTTTTCATCTCTCTTACCCTGTTAATGTACTTTTAATTCATTTGGAACTTGGGTAGCAAAGAGAGGTGCTATTTTGGGGGCACTTGTGAGGCCCAACAGTACCATCACTCTGGTAATTACTACTCACAATCAGAATTCTGTTAATTGCTATCCAGCACACTGGGGTCTGCTACTAACAGCCTCAGCTTCTGGTCGGACCCATCAACTGGATAGCTCAGTAAAGTGCAAGCAGTACGCACTGCTAGAACTGTCAGCACACAAAACCCTGTAGTGAAGAGCAGGGTGCTCTGCTCCCAGAACATAAAGGCACCAGGGAGTTTATCATTTCATATCACTTGAATATAGTAGCTTGTAGGCAAATGTCTGTGGACAGGCACAAGAGGGAATAGAAAAAGAGAACAAACAGAAAAGGAACACAGAGGAAAATGACATAGGTAGGTGAAAGAGAAATGAGGGCATTGTGAGATCTGGCTGTAGGAACTAAGAAATCACTCTACATATGAGCCACAGATATATTTGTAGCTTTTCTTTTTTTCCTGTAGGGTGCATAGGCTCACTGGAGAAAGACAGAGAGAGAGAAAGTGAGAAACTACCCCCCAGGGGAGATGGTCATGCCACAACCCCTTCTCCTCTACTCTTCCCTTGGGACTTTGGCACACACGCCCAGCATGTTTTTCAAGTCACCAGGTTCAGGACTGGAACCCTGGAGTCCACCATGTGCGATCCACTGCCTTAACCACAATGCCACCTGCTGGCCCTGATACATTTATATCTTAACGGTTCCTTCAGACTAGGATCCTATGCTGATGCTGGTGGTTCCTGTTATGTCACAGTTGTAAACCTTCTCCACTATTAGCACACGAGTTATCTGAATAAAAGGATCATATCTTATGCTTCTGTAACCTCCATAGTAACTTCTGTAGTCCAGATACTCAACTGCTTACTGAGTGAAAATCAAGAAAAATAGACACATCCTCCTAACACCTAATAATAACAAGGAACACTGACTGTATTATGCAGTATACCAGGTGCACTACACACTTTATCTTACTTAATCCTCCCAAGAACTTAATGAAGTATGACTAGTTTAATACTAATATTAATAGTAATCACTTTTTGGGGCCAGCAGTTAGCGTAATGGCTATGTCGCTGGACTCTCACGTAGTTGACCACAGTTCGCGTCCTGGACCTGGTGGCTTAAAACTCACGCCTGGCACATGTGCGTGCGTGCCCAAGATCCCAAGAGGAGAATGGAAGAGAAGGGATTGCGGCGTGGCCATCCCCCCTGGGGGGTGATTTCTTGCTTTCTATCTCTCTGTCTCTCTCTGTCTGTGTGGCAAGCGCACGTGCCCTATAGCAAAAACCTCTCCAAAAAGAAAAAAAAATTAGTAATCACTTTCTGATAAACACTACTGGAAACTGGACTAGGTACTTTACACATACTACTCTTAATCCTCACACCCACCTTCCAAGGCAGCTATTATATATATTTTATAAAACTGGAAACAGAGGCTCAAAGAAATAGCCTATCATAGTTATCCCATGAAATGACAAGGGACAAGTGAAATGGACTCTCCAGGTGTGCAACGGAGCAAAGAACTAAGAGCCAACAAATTAACCCTCCAACCCCATGCCCCCCAAAAGATTTGCTCATCCACTAGACATGCTTTGGCATTCGGTAGGAATTCTAGGTCTTTCAATCAACCTATTTCCAAAGAACAAGAAATGTTGTCTTTTGTAACAATCACATACAAATATATACACATAGAAATTGACAGGTGGCATGGTGGTTAAGGTGCTGGATTCCCAAATGGTTGACTGAGGTTCAAGTCCCAGATTCAGCAGCTTGCTTTCTCACTTTCCCTCTCTCTCTCTCTTTCTGTTCAATTTAAAATAATAATAAATAAAATTAAGTAAAATAATTAAACAAATATATATATACACATATTCACAAATACACACACACACACATACACACAAACACCTTCTCTCTCTCTCAGTGTATCATTACCTCTTCTGCAGGTGTTGGTGGTTTTGTTTTGGTTGGGCAGAATCCCAGTTGGCACAGACCTGCTGCAATATCCCCAAAATGGCGGCAGAAAATCAAACTCCCTAGAGATGCATGCTGAGCAATACTTAGGAGAGCCATACAGCTGGTGTACAGTCTCCGGGATGCATTAGGAGCAGCATCGAGATTCACCACGTCTTGAACGACAGCACCAAACTCAGTCCTGTACCTCAAAGGGACTCCAACACCAGGCATGAGATAGGGGCAGACACCCAAAGTGACTATAAACTGCAAAACCGACTGGACAGTCTTCTGCTGTGAGATACTAAGAGTATCAGGGCTCAGGGCAGGAGCAGCTTCTGGAGTCCTGGGGTTGGGTTTATTTGGGTTAAAACCAGCAGCAAGATGGATCATAGTCTCTTTCAAGCACAAAAGCAACAACAGGGTTTGAGAAGTAAAACTCCAAGTGATGTCCACAGAATTTTGTGGCCATTTTGCCTTACTAGCAATGTCATTTCTTAGGAGTTCCAATTTCTTCCACTGAAGATCCTTCAAAAACTTGTCCTCCAGAGCAGACAGGTTAGATTTTAAAGTGGCCAGCAAGACATCATGTTTTGTGATCTGTAATGAACTTGAGCCTGATCCTTTCAAAAGGAAAAAAAAAAAAAGAAAGAAAGATTATTATGTGGAAAACAAACTGTACTTTCCTGTGTGGAATCTGCTCTCCACTGTAAAACATACAAGTGCAGTTGTGCCATCCCAACCTCAGCAGAATTCAAGGCCACATTTCCAGTACTTGGGATGAATTGGAACAGTGTACCTAACAAGCTATACCTCATCTAGTTTGTTTCTATTCTCAGATTTTTTAAAGGCAGAGATCATGTCTTTTTTATATATATATAATTATTTATCTGGAACCAGTAGTTGGAATAATAGCTACATCACTGGACTCCCATGTAGTTAACTACAGTTCGAGTCCCAGATCCAGCGGCTTAAACTCACGCCAGGCGCATGTGCATGCACGCCCAAGATCCCAAGAGGAGAATGGAGGAGAAGAGACTGCGGCGTGGCCACCCCCCCTGGGGGGTGATTTCTCACTTTCTGTCTCTCTGTCTTTCTGGTGAGCACACACACCCTACAGCAAAAACCTCTGCAAAAGAAAAAATTACTTAATTTCATTATTATTATTATTATTTTTAATTTGCTATAGGACAAGTGCGCTCTCCAGATAGAGTGAGTGAAAGAGAAAAAGAGCCACCAGGTCTGGGACTTGAACCACGTCTGGCCATGTGGGAGTCCAGTGCCTTAACCACCATGCCACCTGCTAGCCCCACAGACACCATTTCTTAATCATCTTACTTGGCTTAAACTAAAGCCAGACAAAAAAAAAAAAAAAAAAGGGCCGAATATTTACTGTAGAAGATTCATCAGTCAAACTGTTCTAGTGCTGGGGATAAACCTCTGAGGAGAATGTAGTCCTTCCCCTCATATAGCTTACATTCTAGTGAGGAAGATCACAAAGTATAGACACAGGGCTCAAAATGACTAATTTACTCACAATGCCCTCCCCGCAAAAACACCTATTTTCCACTGATCTCTACTCCCTACAGAGTATGTTCACTGATCATAATGGCATTAAATACAACTTTTTTTTTTTTTTTTTTTGAGGGGGTTTTTGCTATAGGGTGTGTACGCTCACCAGAAAGAAAGTCAGAGAGACAGAAAGCAAGAAATCACCCCCCCGGGGGGGATGGCCACACCACAATCCCTTCTCCTTCATTCTCCTTTCAGGATCCTGGGCACACACACACACCTGGCAAGAGTTTAAACCACCGGGTCCGGAACTCGAACTGCAGTCAACCACATGAGAGTCCAGCAACATAACCATTACGCCACCTGCTAGTCCCATAAATACAAAATATTAGTAAGAAGCCCAGCCAGGTAATGAACTCAGTAGCTGTCAGACTATCAAGCCTACCAGGATTATATGAGAGACCCAAAAACCAATTTGCATTCACTTCCCCTGGCCAAAAATGAGATAATTTGAGTATCAAAAACTAGGACTAGGGACTAGCAGTTAGCATAATGGCTATGTCGCTGGACTCCCATGTAGTCGACCGTAGTTCGCGTCCCGGACCTGGTGGCTTAAAACTCACGCTGGGTGTGTGTGCGTGTGCGTGCGTGACCAAGATCCTGAGAGGAGAATGGAGAAGGGATTGCGGTGTGGCCATCCCCCCTGGAGAGTGATTTCTCGCTTTCTGTCTCTCTGTCTCTGTCTGGCGAGCGGACGCACCCTATAGCAAAAACCTCTCAAAAAAAAAAAAAACAACTAGGACTATATGGGCCAGTCAGGTGGCTTGGTGGTTAAGTAGATGGATTCCACATGGCCAACTGTATGGTTCAATTTCCAGACCTGGCAGCTTGAAAAACAGCCAGGCATGTGTCTATAGATGCCCAAAATCCAGAGAGGAGCATGGAGAAGGGACTGTGGTATGGTCTTCCCAGTGGTGGTAAGGAGGTTCACTTTCTCACTTTCCCTTTCTCTCTCTCTCTTTTTCTCCCTCCAGTGAGTACATGAGTTCTATAGCAAATTAAGAAAAATAAATTAAAAATAAATTAAAAGTACTATGGGTACAATAACAGAAACATATTGAATATACACAAATCTATGATTCATAATAAAACAAGAAAGATCACTTCCTTGGATGCCTTGGAAGTTGCTTGAATACTAGTACCCTTTTAAAAAATTATCTTATTTAAATTTATTTACTATTATTTTTAATATTTCTAGAGAGAGACAATGAGAGGGAGAGAGAGGGAAAGTGAGTGAGAAAGCAAGCCTCCAAGTCTGGGACTTGAACCATGTGGAAGTCCAGCACTCTTAACCACTACACCACCCACTGGCCCCATAAATGCTATTATTCTAATAACTGAGCAATAAAAAATATTATCATTTATCTGTATTAAAATATATATATGCACACAAAAAGGCCTCAAGATAAACAATTATATTATTGTTTCACTATATATTAGGTTGTTGGGAAAGTCATGATGTATTTTTCTGTTTTTCTTTGCAAAAATGTATCATGACTTTCCCAGCAACCCAACAGTTCAAGGTCTTAACAGTGATGATTTCTGGTGGTAAGGTACTGCATTTTTTTTTTTTTTTTTTTTTTGCCTGTTTCTATCTTCAATGTTTTCTACAGTAAATATGTATTGTCTCTGTACCAAAAAAAAAAGTTATTTTAAGGTTATAAAATAGTATTTAGTACAGGAGACCATTTTTTTGTAAAATGGAAAAATAAGTTTCCTGATTGCTAGTAGTAGTAGTAATATCTAGTAGTGACATTATTAATATCTATTGCTAGTAGTAGTAATATCTGAGTAGTGACATAAAGTTAATTTAAATTTTCTCTTTTGGTTCCTATATATATTTTAACCCTTACTATAGTAAACATTAATCTCTTATATAAAAAAGTACAAAGATGATATGGTTCCTTAAAAACAATGAGAATTGGGGCTGGCAGGTGGCATGGTGGTTAAGGGTGCTGGACTCCCATGTGACATACCACAGTTGGAGTCCTGGACCTGGCAGCTTGCTTTCTCACTTTGTCTCTCTCTCTCCCTCACTTTGTCCCTCTCTGGTCAAATTAAAATAAATAAATAAATAAAATAAAGTTCAATAAAAATCTTTTTTTAAAATGAGAATTGGGAAGAGTAAGAATTTTGTTGTACTTAACCTCCCAGCTAACTTTTGTGACACATGAGCATTAATATCTGGTTCCTTTGGTTAATATATACCTAAGAAGGAAATAGGTGTTCTCAAGGTTACTACTAACCATTAAGATCACTAGCAAACCTCTATGTGATTTCTGTGACTTTAAAAGATCTTTGAACCCAAACATGGGAAACAAAGGAAGTGATTTAAAAGGTCTCTGAGAAGTTTTTCAAGAGCTCCTTCAATAAAGTAGTCTTCTCTGCCCTCTACTGGTGATAAAAATAATACCTACTATAAAAATAAATGAAAGTCTGGCCCTTTGACATGGTGGTTGATGAAGCCAAATCCCACATGGCAAACGACACAGCTTACATGCTGGTCAGGCAGCTTGAAAGGCATGTCAGGTACATGTGCACGCATGCACAGAGTCCTATGGGGCAGAAAGTAGAGAGGGGATTGTGGAAAAGCCATGCTCCTTTAGGAGGTACTTTCTCACTTGCCCACTCTCTCTAGTAAGTACACATGTCCTGTGGCAAATTTTTAAAAAGGGGGAAAAAATACAAAAAACAAAAAAAAACCCAAAAACAAAGAAAGAAAAGAAATGGAAGCATTCCATTAAAGCAGCATTTCTGAAAGTGTGGTATAGGCACCTATGTTACAGGGGCTTCACAGAATCTTCTCGGGAGGTCTGCAAGGTCAACATTATTTCATAATAAGGCTAAGATATTATTTTCCTTTTATACTGTCACTCCTCGAGTTACTGAATATGAAAAACTTACTGATGGTAAAGCTGTGGTGAAAAGGGAACTCTCCTACACTGTTCATGAGAATGTAAATTAGTATAGCCACTGTAGAGAACAATATGGAGGTTCCTCTAAGACCTACAAATTGAACTACTATATGATCCGGCAATTCCACTCCTGGTTATCTACCCAAAGGATAGTAATGCACTCAGAAAAACACTTGCACATCCATGTTTATTGTGGTATTATTCACAATTGCTAAGATAGAACCAACCCAAATGACCACAAATAGATGAATGGACTGAAAAAGTGTGACACATATACACTATGGAATACTACTCGGTCATAATAAACAATGAGACCCTGTCATTTGATACAAAGTGGATGAATAGGGAAGATTTACTAAGTGAAGCAAGCCAGACTATGAAACAGAGGCATTTTATATCCTCACTCAATACATACTGAATGTCTGCACTCTATAGCAGAAACTGGAAGATTGAAAGGTTTAAAGGCATGGAGAGCAACTGAAGATATTGGAGACAGTGGGAGGAAGGTAGGAGCTAGGGGAGGGAGAGAGAGAGAGAGAATCAAGGGGAAAAAGCAAAATATTTAAGGGACCCAAAAATGGAAAATTATCTGTCGATAATGTGTATGGTAATATCTGGGTTTTTTTTTTTTTTGGAGAGTTTTTTGCTATAGGGCGCGTGCGCTCGCCAGACAGACAGAGACAGAGAGAGAGAGAAAGCGAGAAATCACCCCCCAAGGGGGATGGTCACGGCCACAATCCCTTCTCCTCCATTTCTCCATTCTTTCAGGATTTGAGGTGTGCACACACTTCTGCCCAGTGTTTTTCATGCCATTAGACCAGAATTTAAACTGTAGTTGGACATGTGGGATCCAGATTCCCTTAACCACTAGGCTATGGCACCAGCCAGCCTTCATTTTTATTTTTTAATAAGAATTATTTTATTTAACTTCATTTTACTTATTTATTTTAATTTGACCAGAGAGGGACAGAGTGAGTGCATGAGAAAAAGAGAAAGTGAGAAAGCAAGCTGCCCAGACCAGGACTTGAATCACAGTCAGCCATGTGGTTGTCCAGCGCCCCTAATCACCACTCCATACACTGGCTCCTGGCCTTCATCTTTTATAAACAAATTTCACTAATATTGACAAACACCTTTCAAATTCTTTTTAACACAATTCATAACAATGGAGGAGGAGATACTATTCTTGTAGGTTTTATGGTTGAGAATAGAAATGGAATGCAAAGGAAGAGAAGTATTTAACACAACAGAATTTTTGATGGCACAAAGGCAAAAGACTACTGGTATCTTCCTTTCTATTTAATTCTCACCTAGCCTCAATTCCTCTCCCTCCTGTAGACTTCCTTGACAGCCCCATCCCTGGGGCTTTAATTCTCTACCCAATTGCTATGTGTACCATCTGTTCACCACTTGTGTTACCTTGTCATGTTGAATATCTTTGATCTATCTGTATACAGGTTGAGTATCCTTATTTGGAATGCTTGAGATCATAAGAGTTTGGGATTTGGTAATATTTGCATATAGATAATAAGGTATCTTGAGGAAGGGACTCAAAGGGACTCAAACCTAAACATGAAATTCATTTAACCCATATAGAACTTACACACAGTCTGAAGGTAATTTTATATTGTATTGCAGCATTTTTATATATTGCACCACCACATGCTCAGGTGTGGAATTTTCCACTGTTGCATCATGTCAAACTTTGGATTTCAGATTTTTAGATTGGGGATACTCAAACAGAGCAGATGCTTGAGAGTACAAACTTTATATATTTTTGTAACACTATGAATAGAGTACTATAATACATATAATCGACTGCATCAATTTTATCTCAAAAGTAAGTCTATTTATAAAGATGGATTAGGGACTGACAGTGGTGCAGCAGTAAAACACAATGTTCTGTGAGGCTGATCCACATGGGAAGGTTCTGGATCTATAACCAGAGACCTCTCTGAGTTAGTCAAGCAAGCACATGCCTAGGATCCTTTTGTCTATGATCTAGGGTGGGCTAGGGGTGGATTGAGACAGCAAGACTCTGTTGGGGGTGCAGTTTCTCTCACTGTCTCTCCCTCTCTCGCACTCATGAAGGAAATAACCTTTAATAAAGTTAATAGACACATCAAAGAAATTTAATCCACATGGATGCAAATTTAAAAAAAAAATTTTTTTGAGAGGTTTTTGCTATAGAGCATGTGCGCTCATGACAAAGAGAGAGACAGAGACAGAAAGCGAGAAATCACCTCCCGGGGGGATTGGCCACGCCGCAATCCCTTCTCCTCCATTCTCCTCTCAGGATCTTGGATACGCATACACATGCCCAGCGTGTATTTAAGCCACCGGGTCCAGGATTCAAACCGCGGTTGACTACATGGGAGTACAGTAACATAACCATTATGCTAACTGCTGGCCCTTAAAAATATTTTAATTTTAGTCATAATTATTATTATTATTTTTAAATTTGAGAGGCAGAGAGAGGCAAAGTGAGAAAGCAAGTCACCAGAACTGGGACTTGAACTGCAGGAAGTCATGTGGGAGTCCAGCACGTTACCACACCACATGCTGGCCTTCAGATGGATGTTATTTTAACCAACATTTTCCCGTCAAACAACTCTGTCCACTTTATTAATTCCTTTAGCAGCTAATATGATAAAAGAAAACAGTGGGCATATTCACTATATAATAGAAGTGTACATGGGACCAGTAGTTAGCGTAATGGCTACATCGCTGGACTCCCACGTAGTCGACCACGGTTCGAGTCCCAGACCCGGTGGCTTAAACTCATGCCGGGCATGTGTGCGTGCGTGCCCAAGATCCCGAGAGGAGAATGGTGGAGAAGGGATTGTGGCGTGGCCACCCCTCCCGGGGGGGATTTCTCGCTTTCTGTCTCTCTGTCTCTGTCTGGCGAGCGCACACATCCTATAGCAAAAACTTCTCCAAAAAGAAGTGTACAAAATAAAAATAATATAACTTTACCTTACTACTTAAATAGGAATGCTTAAATTCCTATAAATTAAATGAACATGTGTATAACTCCATTACATATCCCTGGACATTATATAGGGTCTTCCATAAATGAAGTGTATGTACTTTATGAGAGGTGACTATGTCCAAGTTTTTTATTTATTTTTTTAGAGAGAGATTTTTTGCTACAGGCTGCATGCACTTGCCAGAGAAAGAGAGAGACAGAGGAAAAGAAAATGAGAAATCACCCACCCAGGGGAAGGGCCAAGCTGCAATCCCTTCTCCTCCATTCTCCTCCCAAGATTTTGGGCATGCAGAACATGCACCTGGCGTGAGTTTAAGCCACTGGGTCTGGAACTCTAACCACAGTCAACTATGTGGGAGTCTAGTGATGTAACCATTTCACCATCTGCTGGTCCCATGTTTTCTATTTATTTAACCTTGTTCTCAGTCATGTTGTAGTTAGCTATAGTTGCTAGACGAGAGGCCTCTTGAGCAACAAAACTGTATTTTTCAGCTTGACTTTGTTTTAAATTTTTATCAGAGGGGGACCAGCAGATGGCTTAACCGTTACATTGCTGGACTTGCAAATAGTCGACCACAGTTGAGTCCCAAACCCAGCAGCTTAAAACTCATACTGACAGATGTGCATGCATGCCATGCCCAAAATCCCGAGAGGAGAATGGAGAAGGGACTGCAGTGTGGCCATCCTCGCTGGTGGATGATTTCTTGCTTTCTGTCTCTCTGGCAAGCACATGTGCCCTATACCAAAAATCTCTCTCTAAAAAAAAAAAAGAAAGAAAATGCCACTCTGCAATCTCTTCTTCTCCAGTCTTTTCTCAGGATTTTGGGCGCACACACACACATGCACCTGGCGTGAGTTTTAAGCCACTGGATCTCGGACTTGAACTGCAGTCAACTACATGGGAATTTACTCCAGCAATGGAACCATTGTGCCATCTGCTGCTTCCAAAAAAGAGAAAAATTTGTCAGAGAGTGCATGTACTTACCAGAGAAAGACAGAGAAAAAGAAGGGACATGGTCATGTCATAATCCCTTCTCCTGCATTTCTCACTCCTTTCAGGATTTGGGGTACACATAACTAGCACTCAGCATGTTTTTCTTTCTGTTTTTAGGATTTAAAAAATTTTGTCCTAAAGTCACTAAAGCAAAACTCATGACAAAATATTATGCTTTCCAATTCCCCAATCAAAAAAAAACATGTATTTGTAGGGGGAAAGAAAGGTTTTGTACATGGTTTAAACAATATAAAAAAATGTATGGAATACTTCACAAACCTGTAAGTCATCCTCACTCAGGGGCCATGCTAACCTTCTCTGTATCATTCTGATTTTAGTATATGTGCTACTGAAACAAGCACATCCCCAGCATGCTTTTCAAGCCACTTGTGCCAGGACTCAAACCACATAATTGGCCACATGACATTTAGTTCCTTACCCACCAGGCCAGAAGCATGACTCTTAATTGGGGCAATGTGGTATATTTACTATAATACTTTTAGTGGAAGAAACTTAGGCTCAAATTCTGTCACTTAGTTTAACATTGGACAATTTTTTTTTTTTTAAGAATTATTTTAGGAACCAGTAGGTGGTGTTGTGGTTAAGGTGCTAGACACTCTCTCTCTGGTCAAATTTTAAAACTAAATAAATAAATGAATGAGTAAATTAAATTAAATAAATAATTCTTAAAACAATGATTATTTTACTTAACTTTATTTATTTACTTATTTTTTAATTTGACCAGAGAGGGACAGAGAGAGAGGTAAAGTGAGAAAGCAAGTCACCAGGTCCGGGACTTGAACCATGGCCGGTCATGTGGGAGTCTAGCGCCCCAACCCCCACACCACTTGCCAGCCTTGGCAATATTTTTTTAAAGAATTATCTTTTATTGGGACCAGCAGTTTGCATAATGGCTATGTCACTGGACTCCCATGTAGTCGACTACAGTTCGAGTCCCGAACCCGGTGGCTTAAACTCACACTGGGTGCATGTGTGTGCATGTATGCCCAAGATCCCGAGAGGAGACTGGAGAAGAGGGGATGGTGGCATGGCCATCTCCCCTAGGGGGTGATTTCTTGCTTTCTGTCTCTCTCAGTCTTTCTGGAGCACACACGCCCTATGGCAAAAACCTCTCAAAAAAAAAAAAAAAAGAAAAAAAGAATTACCTTTTATTTAATGTTATTTATCTGTTTGTTTGTTTATTTATTTTTATTTGACCATAGAGGGGCAGACTGAGGGGAGTTTTGGAGAGTGGTGGGAGCAAGAAAGCAATCCACCAGTCTGGGACTCAAACCATAGTTGGACATATGGGAGTCCAGTGCCACCATGCCGGCCACAACACTGGGTAGTTTTCAATGTACCTCAACTTTAGTTCCCTTATTTGGGAAAATGAAATATAAGTAATATTTATCTCATGCAATTGTTGTGGGGATTAAATGATATATACAAAAACAACTTTCTATAAGGATTTAGATACTTAGTACACATTCATTTATTATTTTTAATAACTTCTTTTCATTTCCCACTGATACACTGTTAAGATTTTTAATTTTTAATTTCATTTATTATTATTATATTTTAAGTTTGCTATAGGGTATAAGTGCTTCACCAGAGTTGGGGGAGTGAGAAAGCAAGCCACCAACTCTGGGACTGAACCATGGCTGGCCATGTGGGAGTCCAGCACCAACCATAATGCCACCTACTGATCCCGGGGAACAGTGTAATGTTTACAGGAAATGTTGCAGTTTTGGGAGTATCTCAAAATTTGAGACTAGCATGGAGGTTGAGGCGGCTAGATTCCTCCATGGCCTATTGCAAGGTTCCTGTCCCAGATGCTGCGCTTGAAAACACTGTAGGTGTGTGTCTATGCAAGCCCCAAATCCAGGGAATGGAGAAGGGACTGCGGTGTGGCCGCCCCCTCTAGGGGATGATTTCTCACTTTTCTCCTCTGTCTCTCTCCAGGGAGCCTATGTATCCTAAAGCCAAAAAAAAAAAAAAAAAACTTAAAAAACTGAGAAATGGAACATCGTTCCATGGCCTTTCTTATGCCCTTCCCTTGCTAATCCTACAAATCCCTTCCCCCTTCCCTCTTCCAAAGCTTCAGATAACACCAAAGAGCTCTGTGCTGAATAATTTGCCCTAGTCTGAGAAAGGGGTCTAGACTTCAGTTCTAGGTCTATGTTCTACCCTAATTTACCACAAATTCTTGGGCGGGTTATTTAATCTCAGGGATGTGAGCTGTGGAGGGAAAAAAAAAAAAGCCAGGCTCAACCACTCCCAAGGGCCTTTAGATTCTAAACTGGAAAGACCTAGTCACCTCAGCACAGAAAATTAAAGGTGACAGTAGATTCCTAAACATTCTCCCCAAACCCAGCTCAAACGTCTCTGCTCGGTTCATCTGGACTCCTAGGCATTTCCTGCAAATCTCGAGTCCACGCTGGACCCTGCGCCCCACGCGGCCGGGCAGCACGTTACACCAGAGCGGGGCGCCTAAGCCTCGGGGCAGCGGCTCCCTCAGTCCCTCTCTGAGGGCTGCAGGAAGGGCTGGAAGGAACGACGGCCCCGCGCTCAAGAGACGTTGGCTACTAGCTGTATTCCACTATGCCCTCCTTAAGCCTCCGTTTCCTCAAGGGTGAAGAGCTGGACAGTGCCCGAAGTCCCCCAGACAGCGGAGCGGAGAGTCGCGGGGGCCTGAGGGGCACGCGCTGCGGGAGGCCGGGCAGCCCTGAGAGAACGGCGGCCCTGACTGTCCGTGTCCAGCCCGGCACCGAGATGTGTTCTCTCACCTCCCGGGCTCAGCAGCAGTTTCACCGATCCAGCCCGCACGTCTCGGGCGCCCCGCCGCCCACCCCCTGCCCCAGGGCCGCCATGACTGGAGTGGAACGCGCCGCTTGCGACCTGTTCCGACGCCTAGACGGACCGGCGCCGCCGCCATGTTGAGTGTGGCAGAAAGGGCCGCGCGCTGTGGGCGGGGCCCGCGGTGCGGGCGGGGCCAGCTCAGCCGGGAACGCCCTCTTTGCATAAAATTTCTTTCAGGCTGTGCTTTACTTTCGTGAGGAAAATCACGAAACTCCTACAATTTCAGAAACTCAGTATGATTACTTTCTTTTTTTAAAAAATAATTTATTTTATTTATTCATTTATTTTTTAGTTTGAGCAGAGAGAGACAGAGGGTGAGAATGAGAGAGAGGAAGTGAGAAAGCAATCCACCAGATTCAGGACTTGAACCCTGGTCGGCCATGTGGGAGTGTCCGTCGCCTTAACCACCACACCACCTGCTGGTCCCAGTATGATTACTTTCTATGTAATACCAAGTATGATACGTGTGTGTATGTGTGTGTGTCTGTGTGTTTGCATTCCTGTATCGATTGTGAATGGAATAGCTGCAAACATTGCTACTAGTGATAAGATTTTTGAAATGGACTTAGTAAAGTTCCCAATAAAATTTTTATTTTAGTTCTAATTATATGTTATTGCATTCCTGGAAAATTCAGAGCATATTAAAACTGAACCCTACAAAATTGTGCTTACATGGAAAACAGAATGGGTTTGAGATTCAGATAATCAGAAAGTTTTTTCACCTAGATAAATCTTAATGGTGCCTGAAAGTCATACTGTAAATACAGGAAAATCAGTGCATCTCAGGACAGGACCATCAATATGCCTGCTTCTCCCCTCACTAAAACTTGATCATATACTTCTACCATCCTTATAACCAAGACCACCCACCCACCACCCACTTTGTGAAATGCTCCCTAAGAAGCTATCCTGAGCCTCCTCAAGACCCAATGAGCTAGCTGAGTCCATAGCTGATGACATTGAGCATCAACTGCTGGAAGACTGGGGAAACAAGCAGTGTTCTTAATGCAAGCCCATGCTCTAGAGGAAACACATTGTTCATTTGGCTCCTTTCTCAAGACCCCTCCTGGTCACTCCCAGTTCTTTGGGTTCCAGCCCAAACACCATTTCCTAGTCTCTAAGGTGAAGAGATAAGAAAACCATTTTCTCAAGGTTATCCTAAGAACTCCCCAATTTTTTCTTAAGAGAGATTTTTGCTATAGGGCATGTGCACTTGCCAGAGAGACAGACAGAAAGCAAGAAATCACCTCCTGGGCAGGGATGGCCATGCTGCAATCCCCTCTCTTCCAGTTCTTCGCTCAGGATTTTGGACACGTTCACACATGGCACCTGGCATGAGTTTCAAGTTACGGGGTCCGGGACTCAAACTGTGGTCATAACCTTTACGTCATCTGTAGTCCTATGCTCCCAAATATTAAGCAATGTTTGCCACAGATGGACTCCATAATAAATAGTACCTGGATCTTCTGCCCCATTTCTTCAAGCAAAACCCTTCCAGAGCATTTTTAAATTGGAAAGACATTTTTGAAGGGAAGTAAATGACCTATAAAGTTACTATAACACTCTTTATTTTACTGAGAGCACATATGTACTCACAATGGGAAGGGGCACCCCCAACAAGGTCTTGTCATGTTCAATCCCATTTACCCAGCTCTCCGGCTAGTCAGGACCTTGGGTGGGCATATATCCAGCGTGTTTCAAGTCAGCTGTGGATCTGAAACCATAGTTGGCCATATGGCTGCTAGCACTGCAGATCAGTACACTGATCTATACCACCAAGGCTGGATCCTATACTAGGTTTATTTTTTAAAATTTTTATATTAGATTAGATTAAATATAATTATATTAGATTGTCAGAAGTCATGATGTATTTTTTTCTATGCAAACCTGCCTCATGACTTTTCTAACAACTCATAATTGCAATGTGTGGTGATTAAATCAGAGTAATTGGTATATTCATCTATTTGAAACACAGACTGTTAGCTACACTCTCTCCACTTACAGCATATTTCATGACGCTATAAATTATTCCTTACATCTACCTGCAATTTTGTTTTCTTTAATTAACATCCTTCTATTCCTCTCCACTCCCACTCTCAATCCTTCCCACAGTCCAGTAAGTCAACATCTTTTTTTTTTCTTAGAGAGACTTTTGCTATAGGGCTCATGCTTTCACCAAAAAGACAGATATCAAGAAATCCCCCCCAGAGGGAATGATCACATCACAATCTATTCTCTTCCAGTCTCCTTTTAGGATTTTGCATGCACACGTGCTCATCGTGAGTTTCAAGCCTGTGGGTTCAGGACTCACACTGCGGCTGGCCATGTGGGATGAGTCCTGCAATGTAGCAATTATGCCATCTGCTGGTCCCGGTTCATTCAACATCTACTTCTATAAGGTCACTTTTTCCAATTCCCAAACACAAAGGAAAACATGAGGTATTTTTCTGTAGTTGGCTTATTCACTTGATGTCCTCCAAGTTCACTCATTTAACCTCAAATGACTGGCTTTCATCTTTTCCAATGGTAGTGTGCCCGCATGTGTATGAATGGCCCTATTGACATTTTGGGTAGGGTAATTCTTCATTATGGGGACTGTCCTGTGCACTGAAGGATGTTTAGCATCACCCTGGCCTTTGACTTGATGACAGTAGCATCTCCACGGTATCTCCAGAAATTGTCGAATGCTCTGAAGAACAGTCTTCTGTGGGGGAGAACCACTGGCCCTTATACTCTGCTGGCTGACTAAATGGGCATTGTCTGAAACGTTGCTCTATCAGCTCAGCCCACAGGGAACTGTATTGGTTTCACCACATGAAATACAGATAGATATTCTCCAAATAAAGTGAATGTAATACCCCCCGACCCCGTTTTCCTCCAGGTGAATGACAGAAAGAGCTGGAGAAGGCATTATAGCATAAAGCTTCTTTCTCCACCAGAGGGTGTGTGTACTCACTGGGAAAAGATAGAGAGAGGGAAAGTGACAACGCAGGCCCCTTGGGGCCAAGGTCATGCCACAATCCCTTCTCCATTTCTACCTTTTTTTGGGATTTTAGGCATGCCCAGGGTATTTCCCAAGCCACCAGGGCCAGATGAACCACAGTCAACCATGTTGGGATCCAGCCACATTCACCACCATGCTATGGGCTGGCCTTCTTCTCCATGATTTGACTGAGTTCACTCCCTTCATTTCTTTTCTTTCTTTCTTTCTTTCTTTTTTGAGAGTTTTTTTTTTGCTACAGGGCGCGTGCGCTCGCCAGAAAGAGAGACAGAGAGATAGAAAGCAAGAAATCACTTTCCAGGGTGGATGGCCATGCTGCAATCCCTTCTCCATTCTCCTCTCAGGATCTCGGGCATGCACGCACACGTACCCGGCATGAGTTTAAGTCACCGGGTCTAGGACTCAAACCCCGGTCGAATGCATGGAATCCAGCAACATAGCCATTACGCCAACTGCTGGTAACCCCCTTCATTTCTTTTATCTTGTCTGAAATGATGGTGGAATTAAGTAAAATAAGTTAGACAATGGTTTAATAAAATTCTTTAATAAAATTTATAAAAATCCATCTTTGAGAACAATTTTCTGTTTGAATTGTTTTCCTTTTCCACCCCCAAACAAAATACAAAATTATCAGCACCCACACACATATACACTCTCCAAACTACAGTGGAATTCTCTAGAAAGAACTATATCAGATACAGTTTAAACTACAGAAAAATCAAGACAATTCCAAGAAGTGAATGCAGAAATGATTTTTTCTTCTGAAAACAGCTGACAGACAGTAAAGCAACTTAGTCTTTCCTGTGATTGTCAGAAGCTGAAGTTTGCATTTTGACTAAGAAAATATCCAAATCAAGATCCTCTTCATCCCTGCCTCCCCTTGCTTAACAGCCTTTAGGGCAGTTTCTTTCTTTCTTCCTTCCTTCCTTCCTTCCTTCCTTCCTTCCTTCCTTCCTTTCTTTCTTTCTTTCTTTCTTTCTTTTTTGTGCTCCTAAAAAAATTGAGATTTCTAATATTCTCAGTTTTCTGTGCATACTCGCAATCAGGCAAATATGTCCAGATCAGTCAGCATTTTTCAGCAGACTTCTTCAAAAACAGGCACTTGGGGATTCTGGACTTTGAGTACAAACCATGGTATGAGGATCCTGAATAGGAAACACATGTTGAGAGGCCTCCATTCTTGCAGAACTTTCAGAGACGAGTTAGACCCAACCTCAGCTCTCCTCAGCATCGGTCTACTAAACCGCCAGGCTCAGTGACAAGCTTTCCCCCAAGCCCGCTCTCCATATTACCCCTCTGTCTTTGGCTGTAGCACTGTAGGCACTATTCGAAGTCTTGGAATACGTCATTCCTTCGTTTCAGTGGTAACACACATTAAAAACTGAGTGGCACCTGAAAACTCACCACGTTTTCCTTGTCAGGTCTCCCTGTTTAGAACCCAAGCAATCCAATGGCATTCATGTAACATACGTTCTTATTCAGAATGAGTAAATGGGTAGATGCCTATTTCAAGTTAGTACTCAAGAGATGAAAAAGGAAAACCACTAACAGTATTTAGAGTATACAATGAACCACTAACAGTATTTAGAGTATACAATGCCCAGTCATGATACGGCCAGACCAAGACACAAGCCACTCCTAAAAGGGCCCAGTCATTTCTGCATCAGGGAACTCCCATCTGAGGCAAATAATAGAATTAAGAAATAAGAGTGGATATTAGAACATGAGACATCGGTGAAGTGATGGGGGGAAGCACATTAATTTTTTAAAAATTATTTTTATATATATAAAACAATATAATAAAATCAATGGACTCTTCCCTTTAAAAAAAAAAAAAAAGTGAGGCAAAACCCCTTTTAAGAAAATCTGCAAGTTGCCAGCAGAACCTTCTAAGGCAGAAGTTCTTTTGAAATAGGAAAATTTGGGGATCTTTTGGACATTGTCACTATGCATAGAGAGACAAAAGGAAAAAATAAAAGATGTGATGAATATGTTGAAATCTTTCTAACACACACGGATTAGAGCTAGAAAGCAGAAATCATAACTATTCTAACTACATCACTGATCACAGTCTCTTTGTCCCAGAAATGCATCTCGAGGGAAGGGAGCTGAAAAGCCACCAGCAACAGGGTTTCTGCTTTTCCCACCGCGCGGGTCTTGGGACCCATCTCTCTGGAATCCCCTAGTCGTCCTCACCACCTCCATACATATCCGCCAGCTTCTTGAAGCGGTTGCCCCATTCGTTCAGGTAGTCATAGTCCTGGTCTTTGTCTGACTCTGAGGAGTTCAGGGAGCTGAGACTGGCGGCTTCGGAACCACTTCCCTCATAGTCAAACACGAGCAGAGAGTCGTAAGGGGGGGCTGTGGGGTCACTGTCAGCCGCTTTCAGATTCTAAAGAAGAGGGGAGACGAGAGGATCTTTCAGTTAAAGGAAGCACACACCTATCCCTGAGGCAAGATGTCTTTTCTTGATGTCTGAAGCAACTTGTCATGCATGACGGCATAGCCAGAGTGGACTTTACCAGGGAGCAATTAACACCAACAAGGTATGTTTCCACAAACTCACAGGGAGGACAGACATCATGTTTGTTTGCTTGTTTGTTTAAAAACGTATTTTTACTTTTATTTTTACATTTATTTATTTACTTTATTATGCGCCATGAACTTTTCTGACAACCCAATATTTGTTCTGATTTTCAAGCTGCTAGGTCTAGGACTCAAAACATGGCCACCCATGTGGAAACCCAGCACCCCAATACCAGGACACCTACTGGCCCCCCAACATCATGCATTGTTGATGAAAAAGAGTTACAAGAAAATACACAGAATGTTTCTTCCCTAAACTAAAAAGCAATTTTCTAAAAAATGTTATTTATTTATTTGGAGAGGTTTTTGCTATAAGGTATGTGTGCTCACCAGAAAGAGAGACAGAGAGACAGAAGGTGAGAAATCACCACCCAGGGGGGATGGCCATGCCACAATTGCTTCTCCTCCATTCTCCTCTCGGGATCTTGGGCATGCACGCACATGTGCCCAGTGTGAGTTTTAAGCCACCAGGTCCAAGACTTGAACCACGGTAGACTACATGGGAGTCCAGAGGCATAGCCATTACGCCAACTGCTGGTCCCCTGAATGGCAAATTTTATGAGAACAGGAGAGAGGCAGACACTGACCAGTCAGGATAGGGTCCCCACAAATCAGGTGGGGGGGAGGTGTCTCACACCTCTAGTCAGGATGGACAAAGACTGAAAGTAACAAGTACAGGCATCCTGGTTCATAAGGACTGGATGTCAGCCTAGAAGGATGAATGTCAGATTAACAGTGAACATTGAGGAGTGAGATTGGGGGAACTGAGGAAGGACTTGCAATTTTCTTCTTTATATACATTTTCATAACATGTATTTTTAGAATCACAAACCTGTTGCTTTTATAATTAAAGACAAACACTATAAATAAATGTGATGACTTGCAAATGAATGTGAACAAATCCAGACCTATCTAAAAGGGATAGTTAAACTATTCCTTCCTGTCCCTGATTTTCTCCAAAGATCTGGTGACTAGAATGGTTTCATCACTTCCAACGCTGCTGTGTCTTAATTAGTCCCTAGTGACAATAACTTCCATAGAAAACTGAAGCAAAATCAGCCTCCACAACAAAGATTTACTGATGGTAACTGGACCATCAGACAAGTCCTGAAAATCATTCCAGTAACCTGAGTAAGTGGCCAGGTAATATAGTTTAAAGAATAGATCCTGGGGGGAACCAGCAGTTAGCGTAATAGCTATGTCGCTGGATTCCCACGTAGTCGACCGCGGTTCACGTCCCGGACCCAGTGGCTTAGAACTCACGCTGGGCGCATGTGCGTGCGTGCCCAAGATCCCAAGAGGGGAATGGAGGAGAAGGGATTGTGGCGTGACCATCCCCCCTGGGGGGGTGATTTCTTGCTTTCTGTCTCTATGTCTCTCTCTCTCTGTCTGGCGAGCACACGCGGCCTATAGCAAAAACCTCTCCAAAAAAAAAGACAAAAAACCCTCAAAAAAAAAAAAAAAAAAAAAAAAAAAAGAATAGATCCCCTTATTGGGTTATTTACTCATTCCCACTCCTAGTTCTTTTGCATCTTATTTTAAACTAACTAATTTAATGCCTTATTATTGTCCCTTGCCAATCGGGACAACCTTATGACAGTTCTGGCCAGTAAGATGTTGGATAAACTTGCTTCTTGAATAAGATAATTTAGTAGAATTTTTTTTAAATTGGTATAGGGTACATGTGCTTGCCAGAGAGAGTGAAAGAGAGAGAGAGAGTGAAGGAAAGTGAGAAAGCACTCCTCTACCCACCAGGGAAGCAACTATGTCACAATCCCTTCTTCTCCATTCTCTTCTTGGGATTTTGCACACACAGATACATGTGCCCACTGTGTCTTTGAAGCCCCCAGATCTGGGACTCGAACCATACCATTGGCTGTGTGGGATCCACCTGCCTAACCACCATACCACTTGCTGGCCCAGTAAAAGATTGATTTTTGGCCTTTGCTCAGCTCCTCTAGTTTCTTCCTGACTGGAACACAGATCCAAGGCCTGGGAGTATGGCCGCCATATTATTATCATGAGTCAACAAGCATGAGAATAAAGATCGTGGAACATAAAGGTGGGATAGCCTGTGGTACCAGCCTAGTTGCTTTCACCAGCTTTTTATTTGAATTAGATAAATCTACTTCTATCTGCCTAAGCTTTCTGTATTTAGGCTGATTTTTTTTTTTTAAGAGACTTTTGCTATAGAGCATGTGTGCTACCCAGAGAGAGAGAGAGAGAGCAAGAAATCACCCCCCAGGGGGGATCACCACACCACAATCCCTTCTCCACCATTCTCCTCCCACGATCTTGGGCATACATGCACACGCTCCCAGTAGGAATTTTTTAAGCCACTAGGTCCAGGACTCTTAACTGTGGTCAACAACGTGGGAGTCCAGGATGTAGCCGTTACACTACCTGCTGGTCCTTGAATGTATTTTTGACATATATATGATATAAGTGCTATTTTTCTGGCCCTCAGAGATACATACAACATTATATCCAACCTGCAGTGGAATGCAGGCGAACCCATTAGTACATCCAAACTGAATTAACTTTTAATCTTCTAGTAGTTTCATTTCGAGATCTTTATCCTTCCAAGATATTCTGGGTTTTGCCATATGGACTTTGTAAATTCACTAAGACCAATTCCAAGTACCATAGTTACGAAATCCAGATATCACAAAGAGGGTAGACAAGCTGAAAATGTGATAAAGAATCTAATAACTTCTTTTTCCAGGTTGGATATAGCTTCTTTCTGAGCCTAGAGAGGAGCTGTAGCTTAGCTTTTGACTTAAGTGACTTACTTCATCAATAAAATTGCCAATTTCATCAGGATTAGCAGGGCGGGGACGATACTGGGGCACACTGTAGAGGGTTGGTGCCACATCATTGCGAGTCACTTCAGGCCGGGCATCCAGGCCCCTGTGCAACTGGCTGAGGTCAAAGTCCTTTGGAGAAAAAGTTAAAAATGTAACAAAGAATAAAAAAGAAACAGTCATCTATACAGGGCTATATTTGGTTCTGGGTAATGCCTTAACTGCCAGCTCTATGTTATTTACCAGTGTATGCCCGATTTAACATGAAGTAACATTTTTCTAGCTAAAAGTATCCCAAATAGCACTGGAAAAAAACCAATTGCTCTGTGCCTCAGTTCCCTCACCTGGGTACAGAGCAGGAAGCAATAACCCAGATTTTCTCAGTAAAGTCTTCAAAAAATAGTACACGAAGTGAAACAAACGATTTCAAATGTCTACTTTTTCTTAATTTCAGTGTCTTCCAAATGAAAAGATTGCCATTGATTTACTACAGGTTTAAAAACCCACCTGGTCCTCTTCTCCACCTCCTTCTTCATCATAGTAATAAACGTTGTCCCGGGTGTCATCTTCTGGGGGCAGTAAGGGCTCTTTGACCACCCCTCTCCTCCGAAGGAAAAGCAGGAGCAGCAGAATCAGGACTGGAGGGGAGGAGAGAGAAAACGAGAGAGTGAGGAGAGAAACAGGCACAGGCCAGAAGAAGCAGCAATCACAGAGCGGCCCTGCCTGCAAGTCCAGTCTTTTCATTTCCACCTTTTCTCTCTCATTAACGAAGGAGGCAAAACCAAAAACTCAACACAGGTCTCAATCCACATGACACTCACCTCTCTGAAGTTAATATACACAGTACTGCATAGTGGACAATGGCATATGAATTCAAGTATGGTCTTTTAAAACTTTCAGATGGACCTTAAAACCAGTCATTGTTGGGACCAGCATATGGCATAATGGTTACATCCTTGGACTCCCACATAGCTGACTGCAGTTTGAGTCCCAGACCCAGCAGCTTGAAACTCACAATGGGCAGATGTGCGTGTGGCCTAAGATCCCGAGAGGCGAATGGAGGGGACGGGATTGCAGCGTGGCTATCCTCCTGAGGGTGATTTCTCGCTTTCTTTCTCTCTGTCTCTCTAGCAAGTGCATGCACTTTATAGTAAAAATCTTTCTTCAAAATAATAATAATAATAATATGTCATATCTCTAAATTTGGGGGAAAGTGTTTCTTTTTTTTGGGGGGGTGGGGGGAGTGTTTCTAGCAGAGGAAATAGGAATGACACAGGCCCTGAGGCAGGAATGTGTTGATGTGACTGAGGAAAGGTAAAGAGGCCATAGCAGGATAAGCTAGAGGGAAAGAAGTGGCAGTGGGATTCATGGACCATTATAAGATCCTTTCCTTTGATTCTGAACAAGTTGGAACCAGTGAAAATTTGTGAATATCAGCCGGATATGACTGATACATGTACATCATTGCTAATCAGTTATGAGCAGTGGAGACACAGACTATAAAATCACTTGGTAGGTTGCTGTTTTCTCTTTTTTTCATTTTCTTTTTCTTTATTTCCTTTTTTTTTTTTTTTTTAGAGCGAGATATCCTGCTGTAGGGCACGTGGGCTCACTGAAGAGACAGAAAGTGAGAGATCACCCCCCCCCCAGGGGGAATGGCCACGCCATAATCCCTTCTTCCCCATTCTCCTCTCAGGATGTTTGTCACATGCAATTTTCTCTCTCATTAACGAAGGAGGCAAAACCAAAAACTCAACACAGGTCTCAATCCACATGACACTCACCTCTCTGAAGTTAATATACACAGTACTGCATAGTGGACAATGGCATATGAATTCAAGTATGGTCTTTTAAAACTTTCAGATGGACCTTAAAACCAGTCATTGTTGGGACCAGCATATGGCATAATGGTTACATCCTTGGACTCCCACATAGCTGACTGCAGTTTGAGTCCCAGACCCAGCAGCTTGAAACTCACAATGGGCAAATGTGCGTGTGGCCTAAGATCCCGAGAGGCGAATGGAGGGGACGGGATTGCAGCGTGGCTATCCTCCTGAGGGTGATTTCTCGCTTTCTTTCTCTCTGTCTCTCTAGCAAGTGCATGCACTTTATAGTAAAAATCTTTCTTCAAAATAATAATAATAATAATATGTCATATCTCTAAATTTGGGGGAAAGTGTTTCTTTTTTTTTGGGGTGGGGGGAGTGTTTCTAGCAGAGGAAATAGGAATGACACAGGCCCTGAGGCAGGAATGTGTTGATGTGACTGAGGAAAGGTAAAGAGGCCATAGCAGGATAAGCTAGAGGGAAAGAAGTGGCAGTGGGATTCATGGACCATTATAAGATCCTTTCCTTTGATTCTGAACAAGTTGGAACCAGTGAAAATTTGTGAATATCAGCCGGATATGACTGATACATGTACATCATTGCTAATCAGTTATGAGCAGTGGAGACACAGACTATAAAATCACTTGGTAGGTTGCTGTTTTCTCTTTTTTTCATTTTCTTTTTCTTTATTTCCTTTTTTTTTTTTTTTTAGAGCGAGATATCCTGCTGTAGGGCACGTGGGCTCACTGAAGAGACAGAAAGTGAGAGATCACCCCCCCCCCAGGGGGAATGGCCACGCCATAATCCCTTCTTCCCCATTCTCCTCTCAGGATGTTTGTCACATGCAAACATGCACCTGGCATGAGTTTTAAGCCGCTGGGCCTGGGACTAGAACTGTGGTCAACTACATGGAAGTCCAGCAACATAACCATTATGACACCTGCTAGTGTCAGTTCCTATCTTCTCTTAAGATCCAATTGTAGGGGCCAGCAGAGGGCGTAGTATATCTATAAGCTAAAGTTCTCATCAGTAACCAGTATCCTAAAAGCTGACTGTCCATTGAAATGTAATTTGACCAGGAAGGGCAGACAGGGCTTGAGTTACCAGGAGACATAGAACAAGGCAAATTAACCTAATCTCCTTGTGGGCTAAGTCACTTAGAGTTTGAAGGAACAAAAATCCAGAAAGTTCCTTGAGTTCTGAACAGCACTATCCTCTTCAACTTGGAAAGGACATCAGTAGCACAGGGCGAAGCAAACATTTTCTGAAGTCTGAAAGACAGCCCTCAGCTCCTCCTTCTGTTGAAGTCACAGCAGTAGGATCGAGAGGACCTGTGCACAATCTGAATGGAAAGCCCCAGATCTGAGCCCTCTGCTCCAAGAACTCTTTTCCACTCTGGCCACTTCAGCTTCTCTCTGCACTAGAGTCCACTTGCCTCCCTCTGTGCCACTGCTAGCATGGGCACCCTACTGAAGGCCCCTCTGTCACATGAGCTCCACCAGTCCTTGTGATCCATAAAACTCTGCAGAAGACTCAATTAATAGCCTCTTTGGAATCTGCAAAGGTATTCATAACCTGGATCATGCCTTCCAATGCTTAATTATATATATCTCAAGACCTTCAAGAAGGAATTTTTAAGACGTTTACAGAAAATGACTACTGTGAAAAAAACAAGTATGAATTTCACAATTTTGCATCAAGGATCAGCCCAGTGTTTAAGCACTGTATCTAAGGAGCTGGTACCATGGCCAACCACATTTTGAATACCACCTTAAGGGCTTCAAAAGACATGCTGGGCATATGTGTGTACATGCCCCAAATCCTGCTGAGATGCAGAAATAGAGGCATATGGATTGAGGCATGACCACACCCCACTGAGGGGTGCTTTCTCTCCCCTACCCGTAAGTTCACTTGTACACTGGCAATAAAAAAAAAAAAGTGCAAAAATAAACTTGTACTTTGATTACATTTTCCCACTCACACTGTTGTAAAGGTTTTCTAATTAACTTGCCATCCACTGCTTCATCCACAGCATCTGTGTCAACCCTAGGGCTCAGTCTACAGAAGGGCTCCAGTGATCTGTTTGTAGGACTATCGCAAAAACTGTCCATTTTTCTCCAGCATCCTTTTTTTCGTTCATCCTTTCAGTTATTGATACTCATTCTTCTCCCCACACTCTACTCCCTTCTCCTGCCACCTTTGAATAGGGTATGTGGTTACCCGGCTAGGGTGAGACCTTCCAGGCTCCCCTGCAGCTAGGTGTGGCTGTGTTTCAGCCAGTGGAATTTGAGTGAAGGTGATATACACAACTCCATTCCACTCCAGGATGGACTGCAGGGGTGGTGGCACTGAGTGCTAGCTTTGGCTATACTGATGAGATGGCACCTAAGGCCTTGTTATTCTGAGCGTGGCCCAAAGAGCTACAACATCAGCATCACCTGGGAGTCGGTTAGAAATAGGGAATCTGAGCCCCATGCTAACCCTACTAGATCAGAATTCCCATTCTTTCAAGAGGCTCAGGAGATTGGTAAGCACTCATGCTAAGGAAGCCCTGAACAGGAGGATGGAAAGACATGAAATAGAAAGAACTTGGACCATTCTTGGGCCACTTACTTCTGAAATATTCAGTAAGAGACACATTTCTATTTTATTTTAGCCACTATACTTGGAAGTCTCATTCTTATTTCTGTACTCTAACTGATGCAAGGACAAAAATAACTCCTGAGAGCTAAACTTCTCCTGTTTTAGTAAAGGCTGAGATGCTTTCCAGGTGCACTTACTTAGCAAGGCAAGGATTCCTCCAAGAATCCCCAGAATAGCAGGAACTTGTAATCCTGCTTCGATGTATCCCGCCTTCACACAGTTGTTGACAATTCCTTCACAGTCACATACATGGACTTCTAAGGTGGTCACCTGGTCTTTTTTCTGGTAATCCATGAGTCTGAGGTTGATTTTGTAGTCACCGATCTCTAAGGGTTTTTTTGGCTTCAAAATGAGAGACTCTTGGGCTAGGAAAAGGAATAAAAATAGATAATGAAACCAGGGAAGGAAATGGAACATTCTAGAATAAAATTAGGGACTAAAAACATTCCTAAGCTGAGTAATGAAAGCAGAGCTGCTTGCGTTTTAGATTACTGGGCATTATGCTACCAACTTAGATACCCAGAAAGGAAAGAGACCTTTGTGCAATGCTTCAAAGGTAGAACAGATGAGGAAACAAACATCAAAGGCAAGCAGCAGCATTTGGAAGCTGGGAAGGGAAATTCAGAAGCAGGGGGCAGAGCTGGTTCTGAGGTAGGGCATTAAGGGTGCTCAGGAGAAGCCAGCTCCCATGTGGCAACCGCAATTCAAACCCCGGTTGTGCTCAGCCAGAAACACACGGGGCACAAGCATGAGTGCCTAAGATCTGGCAAGTTGGAGGACCAGAGGAAGGGGACAGTGATGTGACCAGACCTTACGGAAAGGACTCCCCTCCCCACTTGCTCTACCATGAAGAAAGGAAAGGAAAACAAAGAGGCAGGGGCAAGGAGGAAGGAGAAGCATGGCAGTCTGAGCAGTTATGAAAATGAAGCTCGAGTACCGACCTGGGTCATTATACTCAATGGTCCAGTTGATGCTTGCCCCGTGGGTTAGTTCTGCTGTGAAAGGAGACGTGTTGGGGGGAAGATCGGGGTCAATGATGTCTATGACACGAGGCTGTGGATTCCTTTGGCAGAAATCCATAATTCGAGGTTCCGGTATGGGGCCATTGTCATTCACATCAGAGAGGATCAGTAGAAGAGTTCCCGTTCCAGTGGCAGGTGGAGAACCTATGAGGAAATGCAGAGGAAATGCCAGAGTTCAGGAACATGTATGAATCCCCATTGCCTCCCACCGAACCAAATCCAAATCCTGTCCTGGCTCTTCAGCAGTCCCTTGCCCGTTCCTACCTTATCCATGAGGACTCCCACCTGGCCAATCCCAGTTACTGCTCACGTGGCAGGTCTGTGACCATCTCAAACAGACACACTTATACCCTACTTCGATAACAATGTTCAAGTTATTCCTCACATCCAGGACACCCTCTTCCTCACATTACTTTTTTCATTAAATTTGAACTATTCCAATAAGCCTGAATTGCCTGTTCCCCATGCCTAATTCTCCCTTTTTGGAACTATAATACTAAGGTGACTATCGAAGAGTTATTGAGCTTTTGAAAACTGCTGCAAACTCAAGCACACTTCTGTTTGTATTTCTTTCTTTTTTTTTTTTTAAATACTTTTCAGGGTGCATGTGCTCTCAAGAAAGACAGAGAGACAGAAAGCAAGAAATCACCCCCCAGGGGGCATGGCCATGCCGCAAATCCCTTCTCCTCCATTTTCCTCTTGGGATCTTGGGCATGCACGCACATACGTCCAGCGTGAGTTTTAAGCCACCAGGTCTGGGTCTTGAACCTTGGTCAACTACATGGGAGTCCAGCGACATAGCCATTACACCAACTGCTGGTCCCTGTTTGTATTTCTTTTACATCCTGACACAGCACCAAGCATAAGGTGGTAGAAAAATAGATACTCAAGGACCCATCATTATCATTATTAGTACATGATAGGGAAAAAATGAACAAACACAACAACAGAGAAATGCATCTCAAACTCATAAATATTGGGTTATCAGAAAACTCATGATGTTTTTGCATAGAAAAATAGAAACAATAAATCATGACTTTTCTGACAATCCAATATTAATGGCAAAACTGTGGTCATTTTAGACTTTTCTTATCATGTGAATTTTCTTTTTTAACAATGGGAGCATGTGACTTAAAATGAACTTTCAAGGGGCCAGCAGGTGGCATGGTGGTTAAAGATGCTGGACTCCCATGTGGCCAACTGCAGTTCGAGTCCTGGACCCGGTAACTTACTCTCTCACTTTCTTTCTTTCTCTCTCTTGCTCTGTCCCATCTCTGGTCAAATTAAAAATAAATAAATGAAGTTAAATAAAATAATTCTTTATTTAAAAAAAACTTTCAAAAAAAGTTTGTTTGTTTGTTTGTTTTTTTAATAAGTTAATAAGATTTCTAGTAATATAAACTTCCTTCTCCTAAACCTGACACAAGAAGGTACTTCAAAGAATCATTCAGAACTACCACATCCTAGCTGTGATTTTTTATGTCAAGGATCAGCCAACCAAGGCCTCTGGTCATATTAGGAAAAGAACTAAATTGATTCCTTTTCAGATACTCTATGACTGCTATGAGGTTATACTGGCAATGAAGATTACACGACCTGCACAGTCTAAAATTTTACTCTGATATTTTGCAGAATGTTTGCCAACCCTTGGTTTAGATGCCATACATCTCATCTTACTTCGAGAAAGAGCAAGACAGAGAGAGACGGCACTCCCTACAGGGTCTTAGATGCCACGATCCACCTCAGCCTCAACCAGCCCCAGATCACGAGCATGCACATCCCAGAGTACTCAGGGAGGTCTCAGGATCCTCCCGTGTGGGTCAGCCGTGCAGACGTGCAGATCACCGTTTTCCTGCCGTGCTACCGTCCAGCCCCCGTTTTAATTTTTCATAATAAGGATGCCTTTGTTTAAAAATGGAAGAAGAGATCAGCAGGTGGAATAATGGTTACGTCACTGGACTCCCATGTAGTCGACTGCAATTCGAGTCCTGGACCTGGCGGCTTAAAACTCACGCCAGGCATATGTGAGCATGTGCCCAAAATCCCAAGAGATTGGAGAAGGGCTTACAGCGTGGCCATCTCCCCTGAGGGGTGATTTCCCGTTTTCTATCTCTGTCTCTCTGGCGAGTGCACCTGCCCTATACCAAAAAAAAAAGAATGGAAGGAAGGGAATTCATGATTTCAAAATAAGGGGCAGTGAAAGCAGGCTGTGCAGGAAGATGAGGCCTCAAAGGTCCATACGGGGCGCCCTTACCACTGTCGGTGGCTATGATGAGGGCTGTGTATGTGCTATTCTTCACATGGTTCACATCCTCTCTGTCCAGCTCAGCCCGAGTGGAAATGGCACCAGTGTCCGGATTAATCTCAAGCCAGCTGGCAGCATCCCTCCAAATCCGATACCTGAAAAGGCACAAGCTCTGGCTTAAAATAAGAAGAGCAAACAGCATCGCTAGGGTTCCTCTTCATCTACTTACTTGTAATGTTTTTATTCTGAAAACTAATCAACTCTACAGAAAAGTTGCCAAAAGAGCATAATGACTTCCCATGTACGCTTCACCGAGACTCACCCCTTGTTACTATTTTGCCACATTTGCTTTCCTTATATACAAATGCTGATACACACATACAAAATTCGTTTTGCTGAACATTTGAGGATGAGTTGCAGGCATCATATTCCTTTACTTAACTACTCTGATGTACCAACTTATAAGAACAAAGGCCTTCTCTTAGAGAATAACAATTTGATTTTCAATTTTTTTTAGAATTATTTTTATTTAACTTTATTTATTTATGTATTTTAATTTGACCAG